TTAGGATCACCACTTTATTTTAAGAATGTGAAATGTCAGAATAATAGTAGAGAGAATGATTTATTTCAGCTTTTATTTATTTCATCACATTCCCAGTGGGTCAGAAGTTTACATACACTCAATTAGTATTTGGTAGCATTGCCTTTAAATTGTTTAACTTGGGTCAAACGTTTCGGGTAGCCTTCCACAAGCTTCCCACAATAAGTTGGGTGAATTTTGGCCCATTCCTCCTGACAGAGCTGGTGTAACTGAGTCAGGTTTGTAGGCCTCCTTGCTCGCACATGCTTTTTCAGTTCTGCCCTCAAATTTTCTATAGGATTGAGGTCAGGGCTTTGCGATGGCCACTCCAATACCTTGACTTTGTTGTCCATAAGGCATTTTGCCACAACTTTGGAAGTATGCTTGGGGTCATTGTCCATTTGGAAGACCCATTTGCGACCAAGCTTTAACTTCCTGACTGATGTCTTGAGATATTGCTTCAATATATCCACATAATTTTCCTTCCTCATGATGCCATCTATTTTGTGAAGTGCAGCAGTCCCTCCTGCAGCAAAGCACCCCCAGAGCATGATGCTGCCACCCCCGTGCTTCACGGTTGGGATGGTGTTCTTAGGCTTGCAAGCTCCCCCTTTTTCCTCCAAACATAACGATGGTCATTATGGCCAAACAGTTCTATTTTTGTTTCATCAGACCAGAGGACATTTCTCCAAAAAGTACGATCTTTGTCCCCATGTGCAGTTGCAAACCGTAGTCTGGATTTTTTATGGCGGTTTTGGAGCAGTGGCTTCTTCCTTGCTGAGCGGCCTTTCAGGTTATGTTGATATAGGACTCATTTTACTGTGGATATAGATACTTTTGTACCTGTTTCCTCCAGCATCTTCACAAGGTCCTTTGCTGTTGTTCTGGGATTTATTTGCACTCTTCGCACCAAAGTACGTTCATCTCTATGAGACAGAACTCGTCTCCTTCCTGAGCGGTATGATGGCTGCGTGGTCCCATGGTGTTTACAGTGAGGGAAAAAAGTATTTGATCCCCTGCTGATTTTGTACATTTGCCCACTGACAAAGACATGATCAGTCTATAATTTTAATGGTAGGTTTATTTGAACAGTGAGAGACAGAATAACAACAAAATAATCCAGAAAAACGCATGTCAAAAATGTTATAAATTGATTTGCATTTTAATGAGGGAAATAAGTATTTGACCCCTCTGCAAAACATGACTTAGTACTTGGTGTCAAAACCCTTGTTGGCAATCACAGAGGTTAGACGTTTCTTGTAGTTGGCCACCAGGTTTGCACACATCTCAGGAGGGATTTTGTCCCGCTCCTCTTTGCAGATCTTCTCCAAGTCATTAAGGTTTCGAGCCTGAAGTTTGGCAACTCGAACCTTCAGCTCCCTCCACAGATTTTCTATGGGATTAAGGTCTGGAGACTGGCTAGGCCACTCCAGGACCTTAATGTGCTTCTTCTTGAGCCACTCCTTTGTTGCCTTGGCCGTGTGTTTTGGGTCATTGTCATGCTGGAATACCCATCCACGACCCATTTTCAATGCCCTGGCTGAGGGAAGGAGGTTCTCACCCAAGATTTGACGGTACATGGCCCCGTCCATCGTCCCTTTGATGCGGTGAAGTTGTCCTGTCCCCTTAGCAGAAAAACCCCCCCAAAGCATAATGTTTCCAACTCCATGTTTGACGGTGGGGATGGTGTTCTTGGGGTCATAGGCAGCATTCCTCCTCCTCCAAACACGGCGAGTTGAGTTGATGCCTAAGAGCTCCATTTTGGTCTCATCTGACCACAACACTTTCACCCAGTTCTCTTCTGAATCATTCAGATGTTCATTGGCAAACTTCAGACAGGCCTGTATATGTGCTTTCTTGAGCAGGGGGACCTTGCGGGCACTGCAGGATTTCAGTCCTTCACGGCATAGTGTGTTACCAATTGTTTTCTTGGTGACTATTGTCCCAGCTGCCTTGAGATCATTGACAAGATCCTCCCGTTTAGTTCTGGGCTGATTCCTAACCGTTCTCATGATCATTGCAACTCCACGCGGTGAGATCTTGCATGGAGCCCCAGGCCGAGGGAGATTGACAGTTATTTTGTGTTTCTTCCATTTGCGAATAATCGCAACAACTGTTGTCACCTTCTCACCAAGCTGCTTGGCGATGGTCTTGTAGCCCATTCCAGCCTTGTGTAGGTCTACAATCTTGTCCCTGACATTCTTGGAGAGCTCTTTGGTCTTGGCCATGGTGGAGAGTTTGGAATCTGATTGATTGATTGCTTCTGTGGACAGGTGTCTTTTATACAGGTAACAAACTGAGATTAGGAGCACTCCCTTTTAGAGTGTGCTCCTAATCTCAGCTCGTTACCTGTATAAAAGACACCTGGGAGACATGCGTTTTTCTGGATTTTGTTGTTGTTATTCTGTCTCTCACTGTTCAAATAAACCTACCATTAAAATGATAGACTGATCATTTCTTTGTCAGTGGGCAAACGTACAAAATCAGCAGGGGATCAAATACTTTTTTCCCTCACTGTATACTTGCGTACTATTGTTTGTACAGATGAACGTGGTACCTTCAGGCATTTAGAAATTGCTCCCAAGGATGAACCAGACTTGTGGAGGTCTACCATTTTCTTTCTGAGGTCTTGGCTGATTTATTTTGATTTTCCCATGATGTCAAGCAAAGAGGCACTGCATTTGAAGGTAGGCCTTGAAATACATCCACAGGTACACCTCCAATTGACTCAAATGATGTCAATTAGCCTATCAGAAGCTTCTAAAGCCATGACATCATTTTCTGGAATTTTCCAAGCTGTTTAAAGGCACAATCAACTTAGTGTATGTAAACTTCTGTCCCACTGGAATTGTGATACAGTGAATTATAAGTGAAATAATCTGTCTGTAAACAATTGTTGGAAAGATTACTTGTGTCATGCACAAAGATGATGTCCTAACCGACTTGCCAAAACTATAGTTTGTTAACAAGAAACTTGTGGAGTGGTTGAAAACGAGTTTTAACGACTTGAACCTAAGTGTATGTAATACACTTGACAACAAAGTCAAGGTATTGGAGTGGCCATCACAAAGCCCTGAACTCAATCCTATAGAAAATGTGTGTGTGAGCAAGGAGGCCTACAAACCTTACTCAGTTACACCAGCTCTGTCAGGAGGAATGGGCCAAAATTCACCCAGCTTATTGTGGGAAGCTTGTGGAAGGCTACCCGAAACGTTTGACCCAAGTTAAACAATTTAACGGCAATGGTACCAAATACTAATTGAGTGTATGTAAACTTCTGACCCACTGGGAATGTGATGAAAAAAATACAAGCTTAAAAAATCATTCTCTCTACTATTATTCTGACATTTCACATTCTTAAAATAAAGTGGTGATCCTAACTGACCTAAAACAGGGAATTTTTACTAGGATTAAATGTCAGGAATTGTGAAAAACTGAGTTTAAATGTATTTGGCTAAGGTGTATGTAAACTTCCGACTTCAACTGTAGGTATTAACAGCCAATCCAGTAGGGTCTGGAAATTATAGTGAGGTTCGGTCAATAGCAACGAGATGTCGCTTTCTATTGACCGAACATTCTGCCAACACCTCTAAAGACATTTGATCAAGTTCGCCATGCATTGCTATTTCCTGTCTTGGCCTAATTCCAATACTTCCCAAGTATACAGCACATAAGGGTGTTATTGTCACCATAAAAGGTACATTATGGGCATTTTTCAGGCGGAGTTACACTCTCATAAAAAATGGTTCCACAAGGCTTATTTGTGGAGGGATAGGGTTCTACCAAGAACCGTTTTGATCAGAAGAACCCTTTTTGGAAAACAAGGGTTCTTTGTATGTCAAAGGGTTCTACCTAGAACCTTTAACATCCTATGAACTGTTTTTGGAAGAAAGGGTTCTTTGATGATTCTTTGGAAGGCAAGAAGGATTCTTTGGAAGGCAAGAAGGGTTCTACATAGAACCATACATCATATTTCCCAGCATGCTCTATTGCAGGGAGAGTTTCAGAATTGTTTGTTTTACTGTAATATCTGTGTTTTTGCATGTACATTGATTGGTTGATACATTTTATGCTACACAAAGATAAATATCATACCGTTTTCTAAACTAATCCAATCTGTTACTAATTTGATTTATTGCACCTGTTACTGAGATGGTTGTTCCAGTTTAGATGTTTGAGGTAGTCTCGGTATTCAAACTTTCCTACCTTGGCAGTCATTCTTAATGCAGATTAACAATTCCACTTGTTCGATATCCTAACTCTGGCTGGATTCCAATAAGAATTACACATCACTTTGCAAGCCAACATTATGTGTCTTGCAGGCATGTAAATCAGGAGATTCCTAACACCACTGTGTAAGGGTATAACTTGGCCCTCAAAGCAAGGCCTTATGATACAGTATATGTAATGTATTGTCATAAATAATTCTCGGTAGGACCCTTAATCTACGGTTTTAGGAAGAACCTTTAGATGATAAAATGGTTCTTGATACAACCCTTCATAGAGGGTTCTAGGCAGAACCATACTGTATTCATGGGGTTCCTTGAAGAACCCTACATAGAGGGTTCTAGATAGAACCCTCTGCAAAGGGTTCTACCCAGCACCAAAAAGGGCTCCCCTATGGGGACAAACCGAAGAACCCTGTATGGCTCTACTTAGCACCTTTTTTTCTAAGAGTGTATAATACTCGTTCATGCCCCCACAGTTTCACGACAGGTCTGATTTATAACGGAAACATGCGTATGTATGGCGTGCACCAAGTTTATAAATCTCCATATTTTTACACGTGCGCAGCCTTTTCAGGAAGGGATTTACATTTTTCTATTCGATGATGGCATTACAAATTAGTTAAAATTAGATCTTCATTCAAAACATCATCTCACTATGGCATCCCTCTCCACAGGTTTTAGGTGTCTACCTGGTGACAAGTCCCTCCTGACTGAACCCCTCTATAGTCGCGGCGCCCCCCACTGACAGGCATCATGGCGGGGGCTTCAGTGAAGGTGGCGGTCCGGGTCCGTCCCTTCAACTCTCGAGAGATCGGGAAGGACAGCAAGTGCATCATCCAGATGTCAGGGAACACCACAAGTGAGCGTTGCATATTTGTATTATAAGAGTTTCAATTATATTGTCATTGGTGTAAGAAAACACATGGACCTGAGGACTTCAGCTTTGCTCTTCTGGTTGTAGGTTACTTATTGATTAACCTGGGCTGGATGTTAATTGGCCCCCAAATCAGTAGGCCTATCCAGGGCTGGGCTACACAACCAATTAATTTTTTCTTCTATTGAAGTATTTCAAATCTAAAATATTTTAGTTGGGGACCAAGTCAACTGATGAAGGCCCTGCCTAAGTACTGGTAGGGGAAATGCTGATATTAGGGCTAGTCTGCCATTGTTAGAGTCTATGTAGGCAATGTTCTATACTAGTGATATCTCTGGAATATGTATTGATGAATCCTTGAAAGGCCTTCTATTGGGATATACAGCATTTTCCAGTCTGATAACTCCAGGCAAAGATGTCCTCATCAATAATGAATGTAGTTTGATTAAATATTTACTAATATGGTCTGATTTAGATTGGGCTTTCAGGAGACAGCATCATATGACATTTTAAATGGTTTTGGAGGTGCTATACATGTGTTATATCATCGGATCTAACACCATCTCAAGCTTATTTCAATCAATTCATCACTTCACAACATAGACACTTCATGGTGGATTCCAATCATCTCTACTGTAGAGAATCACTGAAACATTTTCTGCTTGGTGCTCGGAACACACGCTTGGAAGCAACAGGATGGTGGGTAGTGAGGCATGTAACACATCTCCGTAGGGATTGAAACAAAGGCTCCAATGAGAACTGAGAGCCTGTCTGTGTGTGTGTGTGTGTGGGGGGGGGGGGGGGGGGGGGGGGGGTTGACCTCTAGAGCATCTCATCCCTCATCACGCGACCCAGAGGGTCCAAAAGGCCTCGTTGTTTCTGTCTCAGCTGAGACGCTAGATCAGATGATGTGTGTGTGCCAGTGTGTGTGTGTGTGTCTTATTCCGCTGCTTTGTGCCTGTCGACGGTCATTCCCACAGTCTTTGGCATGGCACAGATTCGGAATACTCAAAATTGGCTTCCTCTCCTCTTCCTGACTGATATGAAAGTACTGGATTGGTGAAAGTAATAGGGCGAACGGCCAATAGCAATATCATCCAGCTTATCAGGAGGCCTCTTCAATTGCACCTTTCCAATCAATACAAGCGAACAAGGATGAGGAACTAGAAAATAGGAAAGGAAGCCACTTTAGAATTTTTATTTAGCCAAGTTGTCATGCCCTCTCTCTTGGATGCAACTGACTAAGGAGCACTGAACTACATTATTCTGTTCCACACAACAAAGACTTTCAATTTGGCTGATTACATGTCCCTATGAATACCTGATATTCAGTATATAACCCACAAACCCAGTCTATTGAAGTGCTTAAGTGACATCATCATAGGTCGGTCACCACTGATGATGCTGCGTTATTAATCTGACTCAGAGGAACATCATCCCTGCAGTACCTACAGTACACTGAGTGTACAAAACATTAGGAACACCTGCTCTTTCCATGACATAAACTGATCAGGTGAATCCAAGTGAAAGCTATGATCCCTTATTGATGTCACCTATTAAATCCTTTTCAATCAGTGTAGATGAAGGGGAGGAGACAGGTTAAAGAAGGATTTTTAATCCTTGAGACAATTGAGACATGGATTGTGTATGTGTGCCATTCAGAGGGTGAATACGCAAGACAAAATATTTTAGTGCCTTTGAACAGGGTATGCTAGTAGGTGCCAGGCGCACCAGTTTGAGTGTGTCGAGGACTGCAACGCTGCTGGGTTTTTCACGCTCAACAGTTTCCCGTGTGTATCAAGAATGGTCCACCACCCAAAGGACATCCAGCCAACTTGACACAACTGTGGGAAGCATGGACCAGCAACCCTGTGGAACGCTTTCAACACCTTGTAGAGTCCATGCCCAACGAATTGAGGCTGTTCTGAGGGCAAAAGGGGATGCAACTCAATATTATGATTTGTACACTCAGTGTATATGGACCACAGACAGTAGCTGCTGCCAGGAGCTTGCTCAGCGTTTGTGCCTTGGCCATTGAAGTCTTCACAGAGATGGACTTGCTCAGCTTTCCCCAAACTCCTGGCCTAATTTCAGATTCCACCAGGTCTACAATTCTCCCTAAAAGGATGACAATGCATTTTCCACTAATGATATCTATGTAGCCAGCCAAAGATTATTTCTAGTGGCTATTTACATTTGGTCTGCCATAGCCAAGGACTACACAGTGTTTCACCACAGCTTACTTTCTGCTAGTTTATGGGTTTGGTCTGGGCACTTCTCTAACCTTTGTTTACTTCTTGTCTGTGCTTTTAGCAATAATAAACCCCAAACAGCCAAAGGAGAACAAGAGCTATAACTTCGACTACTCTTACTGGTCACACACAACAGTGAGTTTCACCACATACACCTGAAAGACTTGAATATCATGCATTTAAAGACCATGCAAGCCATGACCTCAATATTCACTCCATAAATAAACGAACTAATAATACTAATACTAATAAGCTAACTAAAGGATTATTCATACTCAAACTCTGTCTTTCTCTCTGCAGCCGGACGACATCAACTATCATTCCCAGAAGCAGGTGTACAAGGACATTGGGGAGGAGATGTTGCTGCATGCCTTTGAGGGATACAATGTTTGTATCTTTGCCTATGGCCAGACTGGATCTGGGAAGAGCTACACCATGATGGGCAAGCAGGACCAGAAGGACCAGCAAGGCATCATCCCTCTGGTAATCTGGATGGGTGGATGGATGGATGGATGGATGGATGAATGAATGAATGAATGAATGAATGAATGAACGAACAAACGAACAAACAAATGAATGACAAAATGTAGTAAAACAGCAAATAATTAAACGTTACTTCATCATGTACATGTCAGATACTGGATCTTTGAAAACCCATTTAGGTTTAAGCCAAAAATATCAAAGCCTCTTATTGATAATACATATGCTGTGTTCATATCAGGGTTGGGGTCAATTCCATTTCAATTCCAGTCAATAAACCAGATTCCAATTCCACCTTTTCCTCATTGAAAAGAGTTGAAGATAATTGGAATTGGAATGTCAATGTACTTCCTTAGTTGGATGGAATTGACCCCAACACTGGTTCATATGTGAGTCTAACGACGTTCCTCCATGTTCTCTGTCTGCCAGCTGTGTGAGGACCTCTTCACCAAGATAAGTGACAGTAATAAAGACAACAGCTTGTCCTACTCCGTAGAGGTGAGTGCTCCCTCTAGTGGTTTGAGAATGAGCTTCTGTACAGGACAGGCCTACTGCATATCAGTGAGTTAGGGCTTTTACCCCCTGGGTGATATATACTGAACATATAAACGCAACATTTAAAGTGTTGGTCCCATTTTTCATGAGCTCAAATAAAATATCCCAGAAATGTTCCATATTTACAAAAAGCGTATTTCTCTAAAATTTGGTGCACAAATTTGTTTACATCCCTGTTAGTGAGCATTTCTACTTTGCCAAGATAATCCATCCATCTGACAGGTGTGGCATAAGAAGAAGCTGATTAAACAGCATGATCGTTACACAGGTGCACCTTGTGCAGGGGACAATAAAAGGCCACTCTAAAATGTGCAGTTTTGTCACACAAGACAATGCCACAGATGTCTCAAATTTTGAGGGAGCGTGCAATTGGCACGCTGACTGCAGGAATGTCCAACAGAGCTGTTGCCAGATAATTGAATGTTAATTTCTCTACCATAAGCCGCCTCCAACGTCGTTTTAGTGTACATTTAAATGTACACCATATATTTTGCTGTGCATAAGATAAGAGTTCTGATAAGAATGTCTTCTCTGCTCCAAGGTGGTGTTGCTCAATAGACATTTGATTGGCACTTAGTTATCTTGATTGGCACTTATATAGCGTATTGACAACCTCCACAGGTGAGCTACATGGAGATCTACTGTGAGCGTGTGCGTGACCTGCTGAACCCAAAGAACAAGGGGAACCTGCGTGTGAGAGAGCACCCCCTGATGGGGCCGTACGTGGAGGATCTGTCCAAACTGGCCGTCACCTCCTACAACGACATCGACGACCTCATGGAGTCTGGCAACAAGGCCAGGTAAATGGGACTTAGAATGGATGGATGGATGATGGATGGATGAGGGATGGATGGATGTCATAAGGTTCAATTCTGTCTTCCTTCAGGACGGTGGCAGCCACCAACATGAACGAGACCAGCAGCCGCTCTCACGCTGTCTTCAACATCATCTTCACTCAGAAGAAACACGACATGGATTCAGAAAACACATCTGAGAAGGTACAGACTTAATAACCAGGTTCAACCTTATGTTCAAGCTACTGCAATAGGTTGAGGCCATAGAGTTATAAACCCCTACAGATGTAGGATCTTAATTTGATCACTCTTGTTGCTGAGAGTTTTCCTGCACAGCAGGAAATGCAAACTTGTAGTGTATTCGAGGTTTAAAAAGGCTTCTAAAGTTTGTAATTTCCACTTTAAAATGTCAGACTTGATTTGCCCTAACGAAAAATGTATCAATCCCTATAAAAAATGTCCATGAATTATAATCCACATAATAACTCACATTTCCTGTTGCTGCTGATAACACTACTCAGTGCTCATTACAGATAAGTCCTCAAATAGAGTTTCTTGGGACTACTACTGTGCATTTGGAATCTGGGCATTTTCCCATTGTGATACAGAGTATGGAGGCAGATTCATACCAAAACAAATGATAACGGAGAGTAATTTCTTGTTGCAGGTGAGCAAGATCAGCCTGGTGGATCTGGCTGGGAGTGAGAGAGCCGACTCAACAGGAGCCAAAGGAACCAGGCTGAAGGTGAGAGGGTATTTTTGGGTCAACTTTATGGGCTGAATCGGACCCCCCAGTGATATCAATGTAAGAATTCCTCAAAGTTTCAAGTTAACATTTCAAGTTGACATGTCTATGAACTTTACAAAGCCCCTAGGCTCTGTTTCTCAATACTGTGGAGTGTGTAGTTTTTGTGTTGCAAGCAAGGCTTTTGTTTGATTAAGTATGCCCCATCTGTTTCTTTTCAGGAAGGAGCAAATATCAACAAATCTCTGACCACACTGGGGAAAGTCATCTCTGCTTTAGCTGAAGTGGTGAGAGTCTGTACTCTTCAGTACACAACGCTTCATTTGTATGGTCATTGAATCAATTTAGGTATGACTGTCAATTAATTCAGTTCTGTCAATGTCTTCTTTTTCTAGGACTCAGCACCAAATAAGGTACACAATTTCAGTGACTTCCATTTTTGTTATGAGAAAATATTTGGGGAAATGGTATTAAGAGATTGGGATATAGATGATTTACAAGCGTTTCTCAACATGTAAATGCACTTGTATTGAGGCAGTATCCTAATTGGGAAAATTAACTGTTAAAGAACAAGAAGAAGAAGAAGGTGGAGAGCCATATCCCCTACAGAGACTCAGTGCTGACCTGGCTACTTAGAGAGAACCTGGGTACGTATTTTCCACCTAGTAGCCCAGATCCTGCCGACCATGCTAAATGTAGCATCCTTATCACTGTTTACTCTTTTGTTTAATTCCCCTGCAGATACCCTTTAAATAATCCGTCCTCTTCTTGCCCTCATCCCCAATTAACCTCTTTTCCCCTTTCTGTCTATTAGGAGGTAACTCTCGCACCGCCATGGTGGCAGCCCTCAGCCCTGCTGACATCAACTATGACGAGACCCTGAGCACCCTCAGGTAAGAACCCAGCTCTGAGGTCAAATTCTCAGGTTAAAAACCTTCAAATCCATAGTTATTCAGTGACCCTATAGTACTTCACTATCACTGTCATCCTCTCTGAGGAGCAGTTTTAGTTCCAACCACCTGCCTCCTTATAAAGTAATGTACACAAGTGTAATGACTACACACAAAAAAGTGATTCTAAATAGTACCAGACAGGTTATTTTTGGTGCTATATAGAACCCTTTTTTGAAGGTTCAATAAAGAGCCATGCTTATAAGGTTCTAAATGGAACCTGTATGGTGCTATAAAGAAGCATTTCCTAAGGTTCTATAAAGAACCATGAACCCTTTAACATTTTTGAAATGAAGCATATGCATTTTGTTTGTCGTATTTTATCATCACAATCGATGTCATTTAGTGAAATGATCATGCGGTTATCATTACCGGACTCCCATATTTTTTAAAACACGCATTCAAAGATGGTTGAAAACCAGCAAGTGAACGTGAACAAATCCTAACCTTTTTTTATGTTGTTGAACTAATTTGTTGTTGTTTTACAAATGTAGGAACTCTTGAAAAATATGCTCTACCAGGCGATTGAGTTGCCCATTAAAGGAATGCTATTAAGTCAAAGCTAGTGATAATGGATAATGGAGAAATATTGTTATGGGATGTTTATGTCTGAGCAAATACAAAAATCCTTTCAGATCCATATCATTATTCACTGTCTGTCTGTTATCTTCAATATGTTTCACAATATCATTCAATACATGTCATTTTACTGGTCTTCTAAGCATGTAAACTGTAAACACATTCATTGACATGCATTGTAATATTCATATTTTGACACACAAATGTATCATATTTTATTAATAATTGATATCAGTCCTCATTTAACTAGGCCTATCTTCCATTATAAGTAAATGAAGCAGACATCATGTAAATTCATGTATAATATTTGGATGATTTAAAAAGTCTATGCAAATTCCAATACAAAACTAGTTTACTCTAATTGGGCAACTCTGGTTGAGATGTTTGCAATATATTATCTAACACAACAAAATGTGGAATAAGTCTAGGGGTATGAATATTTTCTGAAGGCACCTTTATGGAGAATGGTTATATAAAGAACCTTTCTCAATCTGAAAGGTTCTTTGAAGAACCATACAGGTTTTCTTTTATTGTGGTCAGCCATATTATATTTAAAATTCTTAATATTGTGTTAATTGACAAGTTGAACTACCTCTGGAACAGCTGGGGGTCCCTGAGGAGATAATTGAGATGAGATAAACTGGAATGACACTCTCAATTTCGGTTGCACTAAAAGAGCTGTGAGCAAACCAGGCCGAGCCTCCTCCCCTACATTTTAATTATCACTAAAAGAGCAAAGAACCCTTTTGTGAACTGCAAAGAACCATTGAAGAGCTCAAAGGGTTCTTTGAGTCATTATGGATCCACATAGAACCATCACCCTTCCCAAAGAACCCTTGAGGAACCCTCATATTTTTGTGTGTATGCATTGCGAGACTAATCCAGAAAGTTACCCAGGAGCTGCAAATAATGATACCTTGAACGCTCCCATGTTGTCACTGTCAATGACGATTTTCTCCCATCGTATAAACAGTGAACATATTAAAAAAGAATAATCTTTGAGTTTGGGGTGAACCTGCCTTTTAATTGTAATGATCCTTCTCAGGTATGCTGACCGCGCCAAACAGATCCGCTGTAACGCCGTCATCAACGAGGACCCCAACAACCGCCTGGTGCGTGAGCTGAAGGAGGAGGTGTGTCGACTCAAGGACCTCCTCTACGCCCAGGGCCTGGGAGATATCATAGACAGTGAGTACCTACCTACCTACACACACACACACACACACACACACACACACACACACACACACACACACACACACACACACACACACACACACACACACACACACACACACACAGGATGAGAGCCATACAGATGTGTGTGTGAGTGTCTCACACACTCTTCTCTCTCCTCTTTCCTCTCAGCGTATCGATGTCCTGATCCTGTGATAGCTGGTTTGAAAAGTGTGTATATTCTGGCAACCCCACGCTTTGCAGCTAACTGAAAATAAAGCCAAACCTCTACCATACTAAACTCCTATAACACCCCAGAGCTATATAGAAGGACTCCAACCCAAAACCCATCTTAAATCCATGCAAATGTTTTACATGGGATCAGACACACTGAAGAAAAGAAACTCAGATTTTTACTGTCCACCTCTTGAGGACTGGAATGCGTCTCAATAGTCTAACATGGCATCTTCTCCTCATCTCCTTTTCCTTCATCTGCACTGATCTGCAAACAGGGGATAGGTGAAAGCAAGATGGTGGACTCCTCTTAGAGAATAGACTTTCACCTTTCCAGTCATTTCAGATCAGTGTAGATGAAGACAAGGGGAGGAAGCCATTTTAGACTGTTGGGATGCAGCCTGTGTTACACTCTGGTTCTCTGGGTGTGTAGCTAGCTGGTTCGATGCTCTGCTTCTGTAGAGGATCTTTGATATGCCAGGCTCTTAATGTGGGCTCTATCTGGGGCTCTAGAGCTCTGCTGCCTTACCTCTAATTCACACTGCTTGCCCTGCATAATTGTCCCTTGCTGGATAAATGTAGTTTTTTGGAATTGCATTGATTTTAATCGAATAATACTTTCACAGCCTTTCAGTCTGGAGATTATGCTGCAAGTAAGAACTAAAATACATGTATTCTAGATTGGCTGCTCGATATATTCTTTTTAGCTTGTTACTGTATGTATTTTGCATATGAATGTCAGAGAAAAGCGGTTGCTCTCTAATTTATCGTATGCTTTGCATATCCATCAGTGTAAGTTGCTCTTTTCTCGCTCCTCTCTCTGCAGTGGCTTTGGTAAGCACCTGTCTCTGCTTCTATGATATATTTTTTGAGCTCTCTTCTTTTCTTTTTTTTTACTCCTCCTTTGTTTTCCCTTTCTTCCTTATATCCACTTCTCTGCATTTTTCTCTCCACCCCAATGTCTCCTCCTCCTGACCTTCCTGCTGTTTGCTCCCTCTCTTTCCTTCTCTCCCCCACACACTCCCGCTCTTCTTCTGGCAGACTTGTGCGATTACAAGAACTTTGTCAATAATCGCCAGGCTGTCAATCAAACGGGTGATCTATCCACAGTGACCAATGCCATGACTGGGATGAGCCCCTCCCCCTCTCTCTCCGCCCTGTCCAGCCGTGCGGGCTCTATGGCAAACCTGCATGACCGCATCTTCAGCCCCGCCTCCGAGGAGGCCATAGAAAGACTCAAGGTAGGGAGGGAGGGGGAACTTAGAGGTGGTGTATGAGTGAGAGAGATGGAAGAAGAAAGAGACAGGGTGGGAAGGGGAGAGAGAGGAGGAGAGGAAGGGCAGTGGAGAGACAGAGAGATAGTTAGACAGCTGGTGACAGATGGAGAAAGAGAGGAGAGAGGGGAACAAGGAGGTTAGAGATAGAGTGAGAGAAGAGAGAGAGATGGTAAGGGTCATGGAGGCTAACCATAATGTTAAGTAATGGCATGTATGTAGTACCATGCCAACTTAGACATCTGTTGTTCTTTTCACCCTAGGAAACAGAGAAAATCATTGCTGAGCTCAATGAGACATGGGAGGAGAAGTTGCGCCGTACTGAAGATATCCGGATGCAGAGGTGTGTTAGACGGATTTAACCTTGAACCATTATCCTTATCTGAGTCCATCTGTCTCAAATAACTGTGGCTCTCTGCTATATGTAGGGAGGCCCTACTAGCTGAGATGGGCGTGGCCATGAGAGAAGATGGAGGCACCGTCGGCGTGTTCTCCCCCAAGAAGGTCTGAACCCCAGTACACCCTGTATGGCAACTGTAGTTGCTACAACAACCCCTGTCAACAATATTTCAACACAAAATGTCAACATATGTGGAAGCAAAGTCACAATGTTCTTGTCTTTCTTTTAGACCCCTCACCTGGTAAACCTGAATGAGGACCCACTGATGTCTGAATGCTTACTCTACTACATCAAAGATGGGACTACCAAGTAAGAACTACTGTTTTCCTTCATCTGCAGGAAATGTTTACCTCTTTTGTATTGAAGTGGCCTCCAGTCCTGTAGTACAGTACAGATGGATTTGGAGTAGGGGGTAAGCTGTTTAAGTTTACTACCTGGAATATCAAGGGGATAAATGGTCCTGTGAAGTGGGCAATGATATTTTCTTCAGAATTTGAAGAGTAAAATACTGTTCTTACAAGAAAGAGATCTATGTAAAGCAATCTACTCCATATCCTATGTATCTTTCCATCAGGGTTGGACGTGATGACGCCAGAAGTCGCCAGGACATCGTGCTCAGTGGCCATTTTATCCAAGACGAGCACTGCACCTTCAGTAGCACCACAGGCCACGGGGGAGAAGGTGAAACTGAACTGACCAGCTGTGGACGAACCATGATAGTTCTATTAGTTCTATTTCTATGAGAGGAATCATCAGCAGATTATGCTTGCGTGCACCAGAGGTTATAGGGTCTGTAGAGACAGGGACTAGTGAAGGTATAGTACTATAGTTATAGTAAATGGTTTCTGATTGGCTTGAAGGGCATTCTACAGCGTGCATCGTTTCCTTATTTGCATGGTAGAATTCAATGGCTATAGTTCATTCTATGTTTGAGCTTCTTTTAAAAGCAAAATTCAAATTTTGGCATTGTTGAATTCGATTTTCATAATGGCAAGCTCGGACTGATGGTTTGGTTAGCTAAACTAGCAAGTATGTTTGTTTGGTTACCGTGGCAACTACTGTAGCTATCTAGTAAATTTGCTAGCTATTTCAGTGAATGTTGAACACATTTCTTCCGGCAAATGAACACATTTCTAGCGCAAATGTGTTAAATTATAGCCATGGTATAAAAGGGATAATCAACTCGGGGCTCCAGGCGTTCTCTGGAAAATAATGCAACTCCGTGGAAGGTCAGTTCCACTCCACTAGCGCTTCGTGGAACACACTTTCCACATCATTCATTATTTTCCATAGAAAGCATAGCCCCTCGTTGATTATCCCTTACGTAATCACCACAGAAGAAGACAGTAGTTAGCCGACCAGTTGCCTTTTACCCTCTTGCCTTGGCTTTGTAGATCACAGCTCATTGAGGGCAAACAAATAATCCATTCAGTACATGTAGAGTAAGAAAGGGAGCCATTGTAGAATGGCCAAATGCTCACCATCCCCGGTGGTTCTTGTCTGTTGATGATGATGACACAGGGAATGTCATCCTGGAGCCCTGCGAGGGGGCGGAGATCTACGTCAACGGGAAACTGGTGACCACGCCTACTCTGCTTCGTTCAGGTAAGACTTAAACCCCTCAGCATCTTCCACTAAGTGCGGAAAAATATATACAACATATATAAAACATACTGAAAAACACTACACTGATTTAATTTAAATATTTTGTATTTGTCTTGGCATGAATCTGCTTCCATATACAACATCATAAATACACAAAAAATCACCATAGGTGATTCACACTTGAACAGTCCAGGGTTAGAATCATTAATAGGTTTAGACATTGATGAAATGACTGAGGTGTGATGCGATTGACCTCTGATTGACCTTTGACTCCTGACCTCAGGAAACCGCATTATCATGGGGAAAAGCCATGTGTTCCGCTTCAATGACCCGGAGCAGGCGCGGCAGGAGCGGGAGAGGACCCCCTGTGCTGAGACCCCCGTGGAGCCCGTGGACTGGGCCTTCGCCCAGAGAGAGCTGCTGGATAAACAGGGCATCGACATGAAGCAGGAGATGGAGTCAAGGTACAATAATGGATGGACTGCTTTTGGCAAAGCACCAGCTGTAATTACATTTTAGATCACCCTTTTATATAGTATGACTTTTCTTAAAAATTATTTGTGATAATTTTGTCTGCAGGCTTCAAGAGTTAGAAGATCAATACCGCCGTGAACGAGAGGAGGCCAGTAACCTTCTGGAACAACAGAGACTGGTATGACAGGCCACTAAGAGATACCCCTTAAAAAGCAAAGTTTTATTTTTATAAATACAGGTAACTGCATAAATAAAGGAAACACTTGAGTAAATGAGGGACACAAAGTACTGTATATTGAAAGCAAGTGCTTCCACACAGGTGTGGCTCCTGAGTCAATTAAGCAGTTATCATCCCATCATGCTTAGGGTCATGTATATTTTGTCTACCATGGCTAGAAGAAGAGATCTCAGTGACTTTGAAAGAGAGGTCTCAAATGAGCATAGGGATAGGGTTTAAAAGGTGCATTGAAGCTGTTCTGGCGGCTCGTGGTGGCCCAACGCCCTATTAAGACACTTTAATTGGGTGTTCCTTTATTTTGGCAGTTACCTGTATATGGGAGACACTCAGTGGTCAGTTTATTAGGTACAACCATCTAGTACCAGGTCGGACCCCCCCTTTGCCTCCAGAACATACTTTTTTTTCGGGGCATGGATTCTACAAGGTGTGGCGTTCAAACGTTGCTCAATTGGTATCAAGGGACCTAACATGGCCCAGGAAAATGTTCCCTACACCACCGCCACCAGCCTGTACCATTGACACCAGGCAGGATGGGACCATGGACTCATGCTGCTTACACCAAATCCTGACTCTGCCATCAGTATGACGCAACAGGAACCAGGATTCGTCGGACCAGGCAATGTTTTTCCACTCCTCAATTGTGCAGTGTTGGTGATCGCGTGCCCACTGGAGTCGCTTCTTCTTGTTTTTAGCTGATAGGAGTGAAACCCGGTGTGTCGTCTGCTGCAATAGTCCATCTGTGACAATGTCCGACGAGTTGTGCGTTCCGAGATGCCGTTCTGCACACCACTGTTGTACTGCTCCATTAGGACTGCCGCTGACTGGATGTTTTTACTTTCACCCTTCTTTGTAAACCCTAGACACTGTTGTGCGTGAAAAGCCCAGGAGGCCGGCTGTTTCTGAGATACTAGAACCGGTGTGCCTGGCACCGATGATCATACCACGCTCAAAGTCGCTTAGGACACTAGTTTTGCCCATTCTAACGTTCAATCGAACAGTAACTGAATGCCTCGATGCCTGTCTGCCTGCTTTATATAGCGAGCAATGGCCACGTGACTCACTGTCTGTAGGAGAGAACCATTTTCGTGAACGGGCTGGTGTACCTAATAAACTGGCCCCTGAGTGTATATGGGCTATATTCTGTCATGTGATTTGATGTGTCTGTACCGGGGTCTCTCCCAGGACTATGAAAGTAAACTGGAGGCCCTGCAGAAACAGGTGGACAGAAACTCCCGTTACCTGGAGTCCCCAGAAGAAGAGGAGGAGCCTGAGGAGGAAGGTGAGACATTGATTGACAGTTACCTCTAGAACACCCTTTTTCAAATGTTTACAATGATTTTGAATTAAAATGTCCATTGCTGAGGTAAGGCCAGAGAATGGAATATTTTCTGAATTATGGAATGTTTTAAGTTTTTCCCATAGTTCCGTGGACCAAGCGTGAGATGGAACTGGCAATGTGGGCGTTCCGTAAGTGGCGTTTCTACCAGTTCACCTCCCTCAGGGACCTGCTGTGGGGTAATGCCATCTTCCTCAAGGAAGCCAACGCCATCAGTGTGGAGCTCAAGAAGAAGGTACACTGTCATTGTATACAATCTATCTATAAAGTAGAACAAGTATTCAGTGGTGAAACTGTGAGGTATCAGTCAAATGAAACTGCGTTATTAATCAGTTCAGTCAATCTACCAAATTAGTGTACATCGAATGAGACTATTCTTAGAAAACTATAAATCAATTCAACGAGTCAGCAAAGACTGGTATTGCAAAACAGTTTCCCTGCAAAGTCATTCAATCAGATCGGCTCCATTGTGAATCGGTTCGATGAGTCCCAAAATGAGATTTGAATTGACAACAACGATTTTGTCGCTAATGTGCTAATATGCTAAAATGCTAAAAGGATCCTCTCTCCTTTACAGGTCCAGTTCCAGTTTGTGCTGTTGACAGACACACTGTACTCCCCGTTGCCCCCGGACCTGCTGCCCTCCAGCGTGGCGAAGGAGAGGGAGAGACGGCCCTTCCCCCGCACCATAGTAGCTGTGGAGGTCCAGGACCAGAAGAACGGGGCCACACACTACTGGACCTTGGAGAAACTCAGGTATGTGTGGGGGAATTGTTTGTGTGTGTGAGTTTGTACAGTATTACTATACTTGTGAGGACCTTGACATTAAACTCTGTGAGTGTGTTTGTGTGTGTGTGTGTCCAAGCATTTGATCAGGTTATTTATCTATGGCTTTACATTATGATATGTGTCTCTGTAGACATGAGGCTCTGGTATGTAGGCCTATGTCGACTTACTTTACCCAGTCTGCTTCTACTTTACAGTGTCTGTTGCTCTGATGTGCTCTGTCCTGACCGTGTGCGTTGTCTGTGCTGCCCCCTATAGACAGAGGCTGGACCTGATGAAGGAGATGTACGACCGTGCGGCGGAGGTACCTAGCAGCACCGTGGAGGACTGTGACCAGGCCCTGACTGGAGGAGACCCCTTCTATGACCGCTTCCCATGGTTCCGTCTGGTGGGCAGGTCAGTCACCGGCCCAGTTCCTATTCTTTTTTAATGTAATTCCCTTACTTTCTTGAGGTAATCACTAAGCAGCCAGTGCTTTCCTAATAAGAGCAAAAGGATGGAAACAGATACAATACAATACACTTATAGGAGGATGCACGTGAAAAATATTTGAACAGGGCCAGGGTCAGTAGACTTGCCCCACTAGAGATTACCTCAACATTCTACCATGGTCCTCTGCTCTGAAATGATTTCCCTGTGTCTGATACTGCTCCTCCTCTCTATCTCTCCCCCTCTATTCCCCCCCCCCCCCCCCACCGCAGGGCCTTTGTGTACCTGAGTAACCTGCTCTACCCCGTGCCGCTGGTGCACCGCGTGGCCATCGTCAGTGAGAAGGGAGAGGTGAAGGGCTTCCTCAGGGTGGCAGTGCAGGCCATCTCAGGTACCAGCTACTGTGCCATATTGTCATGTCTCTATCCTTTTATTGTGCAATAGATTGTGTTAGCATACAGTATTAGACAAGAATGTATAGTGTTTTGTAAAGGACACCCAAGTGGGTGCTGAGAGAGTAGTGAACTGCTGTTTGATAAAAATGGTCTTAAAAAAGGATGAGGTTACAAAAATGGATTGTCTCTCCCCAGCTGATGAAGAAGCCCCTGACTATGGTTCCGGTGTAAGGCAGTCAGGAACCGCCAAGATATCTTTTGAGGACCAACAGTTTGAGAAGGTAGAATCAGTAAGAAATTATACAAGAACTTGAATACTTGCCAAATCGCTGTCTGCATTCAGTATCTAGATTATGAAAATGCTGTGTCATTATTTAAAAGCCCATGTGTTTGGCTGATCAGTTCCAGACAGAGTCGTGTTCTGGCGGCATGTCCCATTCTAACACCTCTCAAGAGCTACGCTTCGTGGAAGGGGAGGGACAGAACTCTGATATAGGAGCTGACCCTGACGAGGTCAACAACAACACCTGTGCAGGTGAGGAGATCCTACCAATCAGATTGTTTTTCTATTACATAATTGTGGTGGTAGATATGAACAGCACAAATATGTTTAGTGGGGGAAGACTTAACTGAAAGGTCATGTACTTATAATTTGTGTAAGTCATGGTGCAGGAGAAAAGCACTGTGTCCCCCGTCATACCGTGTGCAGGACTACAGGTATTTCCTGTCTTCATCCTGTGTACTTACCATGACCACAGACTTGTCCCCCATCACAGCCACACCAGAGGTCCCCAGGAGCCCACTGAAGGGAGGTCTGGGCCTGGGTCTGGAACTGCCCCTGGAGAAGGCCCTGTCCCACCTCCACATAGGCTCCACCTTCACCTTCAGGGTCACAGTGCTGCAGGCCTCCAGCATTTCCGCTGAGTATGCTGACATCTTCTGCCAGTTCAAGTAAGTGCCTCCCATTCATTCAAGTCCTTTCATTTAGTTGTATTTTAGCTTTATTTGACCAGGAAGGTTTGGAGGGTTTTGAGAGAAACTTGACAAGATGTCAGTGAGGAAAAGCGTTTTGAATGATGATGATGACAAGATTATGCATAAAGAGGCATTTGTTTCTAAAATCTCTCCTTAGAAACATCTGCAAGTGCCAGTGGTTCAGGTAATTTAAGAATGAAAACTCCCTAAATTCAGGGAGTACCATGGGTTTTGGACCGGTTCCGAATATGTTTTTACCTTGTAAATGTGTCTGTGGACTGTTTAGAAACAAACAGAAAAATGCACCAAAAAGTTGAACGTCTTATCATTCGACTCCATAGGCGTATGTGTGAGTCCGGTCTTCACCATTTGACTGATACCTCGCAGTACGACCTTAAGAGCACAGGCAGCAATGTCTTGCGTGTTTTGGCCTATCCAGATCAGTATGTCGCAACCCCTCGTGGGGCACATTTCCTAAAACCCGACACCCATACTCTTCCGTTGATGTGAGTTTAATCTCTCTGTGATGTTCACACTGGGATTTAAACCTCCCGACATGAAAAAATACAAAAGCATTTGGTAGAATTGAAACAAGACCACTTTCTCTTGATCACAGACCGACGAAAAGCTGAAGTTATAACGAGTCGGCACACATTTGAATCGCGTCTCTGCGTCACAGGGCAGAACATTCTTTGTCGTCAGTTCTATAATAAAATGAATAATACATTTTATTTGCATCTTTCAAGATACCCAAGGACACTTACAGAGTAAGACAAAATAGCTAATATAAACATGACAATGCTAAAAGCAAAGTGCATTACAACAAAGGCGCATGACACCCAAAAAATTGCATGATCAATAATACAAGGAGAAAGAAGATCGGCGACAAGGTCATCAAGGCAGTTACAATTGAGAGGTTAACTTCAACAACCTCTGCACCCCTTATACGATAGGAAGATAAAAATGTTTCGGTGGAGTTGGATTCGCGGAGTTCAGGGGTGAGAAAGTTCCAGAGAGTGGGGGTGGCATAGCTGAAGGTATAATCCCCCATGGAGCGTAGTCTGGTGAGGGGGGGTGACCAGTAGGCCAGAGTCAGAGGATCGAAGGCTGCGGGTGGGGGTGTAGATGTGTTGCATGTTGGAGAGATGGAAGGGAGCCAAGCCATGCATGGATTTGTAGGTAAGGAGAAGGAATTTGATTGGAAGCCAGTGGAAGTGGAGAAGTGAGGGTGTGATGTGCTCCCAGGGTTTGGCAGTGGTGTAATTACTTAAGTATCTGTACTTTACTTTACTACTTATATTTTTGACTACTTTTACTTCACTACATTCGTAAAGAAAATAATGTACTTTTTACTCCATACATTTTCCCTGACACCCAAAAGTACTCGTTAGATTTTGAATGCTTAGCAGGACAGGAAAATGGTCCAATTCACACACTTATTAACAGAACATCCCTGGTCATCCCTACTGCCTCCGATCTGGCGGACTCACTAAACACACATGCTTAGTTTGTAAATGATGTTGGAATGTTGGAATGTGCCTCTGGCTATCCGTCAATTTAAATTATTAATTATTATAAGGAATTTGAAATTATTTATACTTTTACTTTTACTTTTGCTACTTAAGTATATTTTAGTAATTACATTTACGTTTGCTACTTAAGTATATTTAAAACCAAATACTTTTTGACTTTTACTCAAGTAGAATTTTACTGGGTGACTTTTACTTTTACTTGAGTCATTTTCTATTAAGGTATCTTTACTTTTACTAAAGTATGACAATTGGGTACTTTTTCCACCACTGGGGTTTTGTGCGGGTGAGGAGTTTCACAGCGGAGTTCTAGATATACTGAAGTTTGTTGAGGGAGCTGGCAGGGAGTCCATTGCAATAGTCCAGGCGTGAGGTAATGAAGGCATGTATAAGAGTTTCAGCAACTGAGTCTGTAACGGAGGGGCGGAGTCTGCCGATGTTCTTGTGATGGAAGAAGGCAGATTTTGTGATGGTATTAATGTGGGCATCAAAGGAGAGTGTGGAATCGAGGATGACCCCCAGATTATTCACCTTCTTCAGGAGAGATCTGGTTGCCACCAACATAGCTTCTGTCTTATCGCCGTTGAGCTTCAGAAAGTCGAGCTCATTCATGATTTGATTTATTTTAGACAGTTGACGAGTGATGATGGGGGGAGGTCAGAGGTGGGTTTGGAATGAACATAGATTTGTGTGTCATCAGTGTAACAGTGGAATTCCAGACTGTGTTGACGGATGATTTGGCAGAGGGGTAAGATGTAGATGATGAAAAGGAGGGGCCCTAGGACTGAGCCTTGGGGGCCCCCTGGTGGATAGGAGCCTGGCTGACAGGAGCAACCTGCTGGTAGGACCTGAACCAGGCCAGGGCTGTTTCGGTGATTCCCAGGGCCCTCTCCATTCTTTCAAGGAGGATGGAATGGCAAACAGTGTCAAAGGCAGCTGATAAGTGACAGATTTGATGTTTCTGAGGGTGATAGTGCGTTTGATACGGGGCTTGGGGATGGGGATGGAAGATTAAATAGGATGGCTATGTGGTCAGAAATGGTGTGGTCCAGGCCACACAGGTCAGAGGGATCTATGCCAGTATAGCACACCAGGTCCAGGGTGTAGCCTTTGACATGGGTTGGAAAATTCCAGTGGTGGAAAAAGTACCCAATTTTCATACTTCAGTAAAAGTAAAGATACCTTAATAGAAAATTACTCAAGTAAAAGTGAAAGTCACCAGTAAAATAACTCTTGAGTAAAAGTCTAAAAGTATTTGGTTTTAAATATACTTAAGTAGCAAAAGTAAATGTAATTGCTAAAATATTCTTAAGTATCAAAAGTAAAAGTAAAAGTATAAATAATTTCAAATTCCTTATGTAAAGCAAACCAGACGGCATCATTTATTTGTTTTTTATTTATTTAGGGATAGCCAGGGGCACGTTCCAACACTCAGACATCATTTACAAACGAAGCATGTGTTTAGTGAGTCCACCAGATCAGAGCCAAAAGGGACGACCAGGGATGTTCTCTTGAGAAGTGTTTGAATTAGACCATTTTCCTGTCCTGCTAAGCATTCAAAATGTAATGAGTACTTTTGGGTGTCAGGGAAAATGTATGGAGTAAAAAGTACATCATTTTCTTTAGGAATGTAGCGAAGTAAAAGTAAAAGTAGTCAAAAATATGAATAGTAAAGTAAAGTACAGATACCCCAAAAAACTACTTAAGTAGTACTTTCAAGTATTGTTACTTAAGTACTTTACACCACTGGAAAACTCACATGCTGTGTGAAATTGAAACAGTCCAACAGGGAAAGGAAATCCGCCGCAAACTCACAAGTGCTGTTGTCCTGGAGTCCACATGAATGTTTAAGTCCCCAAGCAGCACATGGAGCAGGAAGATGTTAGTACCTCAGATAACTGAGTGGAAGAAAAGGGAGGATTTGGGAGGCCTCTATATCAAAATGAGGAGCAGTGGTTTTGGACCAGACAGTTTGAGCGCTAGACATTCAAATGAGGTCAGATTCTGTATCTGAGTTATAGCCATTTTGAGGTCTGATCACAAGGTTAAAAGACAAACATTCATAAGTGTTGTTGCCAGGTTTCAGTCAAACACATGATATCAATTGCATTTTCTGTGATGAGCCCCTGTGAGAATAGCCAACCCGACGCACAATCCCTAAATAACGGTGAGACCAGAGGGAAAGGGGGACTATAGCGACACTATGGGAATGTATATAGTTCAGTGGAGTACCTGATTGGAGCCATGTCCAGTGTTGAAGGTGCCAGTAACATCCATAGAATTGTTAAAGCAGAGAGCAGAAATCACTGCGGCAGTCACGTGACCAAGCACCACCGCAAGTGGCAGATGGACACTCGGAAGAGCTCGGTAAGCGAGAGTCTTGCTCACCGCTATGCCAACCAAAAGGCTAGCAAAGCAAGCGAGATGATACCGCTGTAGACATGACAGCAATAGTAACACAAGTCACTGGCAGAATAGTGAGGATGTGGGGTGAACAATCCACTGTGGCTTGTTTAGGTGCAGGGAGGCTGAGTCTATGAAGTGGTGCCAATTTTGTACTGTCACTAAGTATGATCATATCTATTTGACAGTTATAAGGAAGGTGAAAGCTTATAGTTAGTCATTTATAATTTGATTGTTATTATATGTAGAAAGCATATTAGTCATTTCCAGGCCTATTCCTCAACTTTTATCTTATATTTCCTATTTTCATCATATTTTTACTATGTACTTGAGTTTGTCTCTTCAAAAGTGAGTACACCTCAGCAATTTATAACTATTTTTATTTAGGCAGGAATCTATATTTTAGATCAGGTTAACTGTTTTAAAGCTATGGTATGGCAAAGGGCAGCAGGTAGGCTAGTGGTTTAGAGTGTTGTGCCAGTAACTGAAAGGTTGCTGGTTCAAATCCCTAAACTGACTAGGTGAAAAATCTGTCAATGTGCCCTTGAGCAGAGCACTTACCCCTAATTGCTACTGTAAGGCTCTCTGAAGAAGAGCTTCTGCTAAATGACTAAAATGTAAATGCAAAGCCTTGTCATTCAAGACCTTTCACTTCTCTCTTTTCTTCATCCAGAAACGACTTCGTCCTCTCTTGGTTTAAACAAACAAAATTCTTATGGTTAGTGTTATTCCTAAGGTAGACTCATCTGATGGTGCAAAACAAGTGTCCTCCAAATGTGATCATAATCAGTGCAGCATATTGAGAGTAGTAAATAGTACATAGTAGTAATGTAACAGTGTCGTAGTTTTAATATTTATGTATACTGAATATGTATGTATACTGTATATTGATTGAATGTGGTTTTCCTACTTCCAGCTTCATCCACCGACATGATGAGGCTTTCTCCACTGAGCCACTGAAGAACACTGGCAGAGGACCTCCTCTGGGATTCTACCATGTACAGAATGTAAGCACTGACCATAAATAACATTGTTATTCATTATTATTAATAGGTTACTACAAGTGTTATTTCTATGATATTACCATGAATGAATCATTAATTACTAATTGTTATGTATTGCCTTGTATCATCTATTGTTACTGGCCTTGTTAAGGGACTTTAGTGATAGCTAACCTCACTTTTGATTATCTATTAGATCACGGTAGAGGTCACCAAGTCGTTTGTGGAATACATCAAGACCCAGCCCATTGTCTTTGAAGTGTTTGGCCACTACCAGAAACAGCCATTCCCACCCCTCTGCAAAGACCTCATCAGGTGAGAGAACTGTACTTGCCCTCTTCTTCTTCAAATGAACCTGTTTCACTGTCTTGCTAAAATAGACAATTTTAAAAGTTCACACTTCTATTTCAGTCCCCTTAGACCTTCTAGGAGGCAGTTCCCGAGGGTCATGCCCTTGTCTAAACCAGGTGAGTGGTCACACCAGAAAGGCTTATTTGGTATGTGTCTCTTTCTACATCTTTGTGAAAGTGCCAGCCACCAAGCTGAGCAAGTTGGCACTGCAGCCATTTTGTACCAGAATGTTTACCAGACATTGGTTAGTAGTACAAATGTGACGGCCCATCCTAAATCGGGCTTATGACGAAAAATTCGAAAAACATGTAAACGTATGGCCAACCGTCAGCATAGTCAACCCCTCCATTATCTCAGCCAATCATGGCTAGCCAGGAATTATCCTGTCTTTCTCGCTATTTAGCTCAGTGCTTTCTCCTTGGCTAAAGTAGGCTCATCATTTAATATTTGTATTCATATTTACAGATCTCATGCAAGTTTGTAATTGAGGCACATTAAAGTTCACGTGTTCAAGAAGGCATTACTGGAAAAAAATAAAATGTATATATACAGTACCAGTCATAAGTTTGGACACACTTACTCATTCCAGGGTTTTTCTTTATTTTTACTATTTTCTACATTGTAGAATAATAGTGAAGACATAAAAACTATGAAATAACACATATGGAATCATGTAGTAACCAAAAAAGTGTTAAACAAATGAAAATATATTTTATATTTGAGATTCTTAAAAGTAGCAACCCTTTGCCTTGATGACAGGTTTGTACACTCTTGGCATTCTCTCAACCAGCTTCATGAGGTAGTCACCTGGAATGCATTTCAATTAACAGGTGTGCCTTGTTAAAAGTTAATTTGTGGAATTTCTTTACTTCTTAATGCCTTTGAGCCAATCAGTTGTGTTGTGACAAGGCAGAAGATAGCCCTATTTGGTAAAATACCAAGTCCATATTATGGCTAGAACAGCTCAAATAAGCAAAGAGAAATGACAGCCCATCAATACTTGAAGACATGAAGGTCAGTCAATCCGAAGAATTTCAAGAACTTTGAAAGTTTCTTCAATAGCAGTTGCAAAAACCATCAAGCGCTATGATGAAACTGGCTCTCATGTGGACCGCCACAGGAAAGGAAGACCCAGTTATCTCTGCTGCAGAGGATCAATTCATTAGTGTTACCAGCCTCAGAAATTGCAGCCCAAATAAATGCTTCACAGAGTTCAAGTAACAGACATCTCAACATCAACTGAATCAGGCCTTCATGGTCGAATATCTGCAAAGAAACCACTACTAAAGGACACCAATAATAAGAAGAGACTTGCTTGGGCCAAGAAACACGAGCAATGGACATTAGACCGGTGGAAATCTGTCATTTGTTCTGATGAGTCCAAATTTGAGATTTTTGGTTCCAACCGCCATGTCTTTGTGAGACGCAGAGTAGGTGAACGGATGATGATGGTTCCCGTCGTGAAGCATGGAGGAGGAGGTGTGATGGTGTGTGGGTACTTTGCTGGTGACACTGTATGTGATTTATTTAGAATTCAAGGCACACTTAACCAGCATGGCTACCACAGCATTCTAATGCGATACGCCATCCCATCTGGTTTGCGCTTAGTGAGACTATCATTTGTTTTTGAACTGGACAATGACCCAACACACCTCCAGGCTGTGTAAGGGCTATTTGACCAAGAAGGAGAGTGATGGAGTGCTGCATCAGATGACCTGGCCTCCACAATCACCCGATCTCAACCCAATTGAGATGGTTTGGGATGAGTTGGACCGCAGAGTGAAGACAACAAGTGCGCAGCATATGTGGGAACTCCTTCAAGACTGTTGGAAAAGCATTCCAGGTGAAGCTGGTTGAGAGAATGCTAAGAGTGTGCAAAGCTGTCATCAAGGCAAAGGGTGTGTCACGGGTGCTGTAGGTGGGTGTGGTGCAGGAATCAAGCGCAGGACGCAGAAACTAAGTCCAAAAGACTTTAGTGAAATATTCACTTAGTACACGAGCTCAACAAGCCCGGAGGCGAAATAAAGGCGCACACAGGGGTCAAACAAAAGGCGCACTAACATGTGCGAAAAACCCTCTCCCAAACAACGGAGGGAAACACGTAGCACAGAACACCAAACAGAAGCGCAATCACACACAACACCTGACACACACAACGAGAATTAAATAGGACACTAATGAACACTAACTGGAAACAGGTGTACAACATCAAGACAAAACCAACCGAACATGAAACATACAACGGTGGCAGCTAGTACTCCGGGGACGACGACCGCCGAAGCCTGCCCGAGCAAGGAGGAGGAGCAGCCTCGGCCGAAACCGTGACAGTACCCCCCCCTTGACGCGCGGCTCCAGCCGTGCGCTGACCCCGGCCTCGGGGACGACCAGGAGGACGCGGAGCAGGGCGCGCGGGATGCCCCCGGTGGAACTCCGACAGGAGAGACGGGTCTAGGATGTCCCTCCGCGGCACCCAGCACCGTTCCTCCGGGCCGTACCCCTCCCACTCCACGAGATACTGGAGACCCCCCATCCGACGTCTCGAGTCCAAGATGGACCGAACGGTGTACGCCGGAGCCCCCTCGATGTCCAGTGGGGGCGGAGGAGTCTCTCCTATCTCACCTTCCTGGAGTGGACCAGCTACCACCGGCCTGAGAAGAGACACATGGAACGAGGGGTTAATATTCTTATATTCAATAGGCAGATGTAACCTATAACACACCTCGTTCAGTCTTCTCAGGACTTTAAAAGGCCCCACAAACCGCCGACCCAGCTTCCGGCAGGGCAGGCGGAGGGGCAGGTTTCTGGTCAAGAGCCAGACTCGATCTCCAGGTGCGTACACCGGCCCCTCACTGCGGTGGAGATCGGCGCTCGCCTTGTGTCGACGGATGGCCCGCTGCAGATGGACGTGTGCAGCGTTCCACGTCTCCTCCGAGCGCCTCACCCAATCATCCACCGCAGGGGCCTCGATCTGGCTCTGCTGCCAAGGTGCCAGAACCGGCTGGTAACCTAACACACATTGGAAGGGGGTTAGGTTGGTAGAGGAGTGGCGGAGAGAGTTTTGGGCCATCTCCGCCCAGGGAATATACCGAGCCCACTCCTCTGGCCGGTCCTGGCAATACGACCTCAGAAACCTACCCACATCCTGGTTGACTCGTTCTACCTGCCCATTGCTCTCCGGGTGGTACCCCGAGGTAAGGCTCACCGAGACCCCCAAACGCTCCATGAACGCTCTCCAGACTCGGGAGGTAAACTGGGGGCCTCGATCAGACACTATATCCTCGGTTACCCCGTAATGCCGGAAGACGTGGGTAAATAGTGCCTCTGCGGTCTGTAGGGCAGTAGGAAGACCCGACATAGGGAGAAGACGACAGGCCTTAGAGAACCGGTCCACAACGACCAGGATGGTGGTATTCCCCTGCGAGGGGGGAAGGTCTGTCACAAAATCCACTGAGAGGTGGGACCAGGGTCGTTGTGGAACGGGCAGGGGTTGTAACTTACCCCTGGGCAAGTGTCTGGGCGCACACCGAGCAGGAGGAGACATAAACCCTCACATCCCTGGCTAACGTGGGCCACCAGTACTTAGTGCTAAGACAATGCACTGTCCGGCCAATACCCGGATGTCCAGAGGAGGGTGACGTGTGAGCCCAGTAAATGAGTCGATCCCGAACCTCGAGCGGAACGTACTTCCGACCCACAGGACACTGTGGAGGGCTAGGGTCGGCACGCAACGCCCGCTCGATTTCAGCATCGACCTCCCACACAACCGGTGCCACTAGACAAGACGCCGGTAGTATGGGAGTAGGCTCAACGGACCTCTCCTCCGTGTCATACCGCCGGGACAGCGCATCTGCCTTACCGTTCTGGGACCCAGGGATGTACGTGATTTTAAATACGAACCTGGCGAGAAACATACTCCATCGAGCCTGGCGAGGGTTCAGTCTCCTCGCTGCCCGGATGTACTCCAGGTTCCGATGGTCAGTCAAAATGAGGAAAGGGTGTTGAGCCCCCTCAAGCCAATGCCTCCACACCTTAAGGGCCTGAACTACAGCTAACAGCTCCCTGTCCCCGACGTCATAATTTCGCTCCGCCGGGCTGAGCTTTTTAGAGTAAAAAGCACAGGGGCAGAGTTTAGGTGGCGTGCCGGACCGTTGAGAGAGTACGGCCCCTATACCGGCCTCAGACGCGTCCACCTCGACCTGAAAGGGTAAGGCGGGATCCGGATGCGCCAGCACCGGAGCCGACGTAAACAGGTCCTTCAGTCTCCCAAAAGCCCTGTCCGCCTCAGCTGACCACTGCAGGCGCACCGGACCCCCTTTCAGAAGGGACGTGATGGGGGCTGCCACCTGTCCAAAACCCCGGATAAACCTCCGGTAGTAATTCGCAAAGCCCAAGAACTGCTGCACCTCTTTGACAGTGGTTGGGGTTTGCCAATTACGCACGACTGACACACGGTCCACCTCCATTTTCACCCCTGACGCGGACAACCGATAACCCAAAAAGGAGACCGACTCCTGGAAAAACAGACATTTCTCTGCCTTGACATACAGGTCGTGCTCCAACAGCCTCCTCAATACACGACGCACCAGGGCTACATGCTCGGCTCGGGTAGACGAGTACACTAGAATGTCATCAATGTGCTGGCCTGTTGTCTCCTCCTCCTGGAGACCCTCCCCAGCACCTGGCCGCAGTGTGCCCTCCACGACCGCAATTGGTGCAGGGGACAGGCCCCCTCGGGCTCCTTCTCCTCCTTTCTCTAGCGCCAGCACCCCCGAGCTCCATAGGGCTCGGCTCGGAGGTGCTGGAGGGTGGAATGGACGGACCCCCCTCGGGACGTCCACGGGTGGCCAGCAGGGTGTCCAGACGGATGGACATGTCGACCAACTGGTCGAAGGTGAAATTGGTGTCCCTGCAGGCCAACTCACGTTGAACGTCCTCCCGTAGGCTACATCGAAAATGATCGATGAGGGCCCGTTCATTCCACCCTGCGTCTGCCGCTAGAGTCCGAAACTCCAGTGCGAACGCCTGTGCGCTCCTCCTCCCCTGTCTAAGGTAGAATAGACGCTCCCCCGCCGCTTTGCCCTCAGGTGGATGGTCGAACACGGCCTTGAAGCGACGGGAGAACTCCGCGTAGGAGATGGTGGTGGCGTCTATCCTCCTCCACTCGGCGTTGGCCCATTCCAACGCCTTGCCCGTGAGACAGGAGATGAGGGCGGAAACGCTCTCGTGTCCCGAGGGCACCGGGTGTACAGTGGCCAGGTAGAGCTCCACCTGCAGGAGGAACCCCTGACACCCGGCAGCTGTGCCGTCATACGCCCTCGGGAGCGAGAGCCGAATCCCACTGGGTTCCGGACCTGGGACTGGTGGACCGACCGATGGTGGTGGCAAGGTAGGTGGAGGTGTGGGTACCCCTCTGGACTCCCATCGGTGCAGGGTGTTGATGACATCCTGTAGAGCGGTCCCCAGTTGTCTGATCTGGTCATCCTGGCCGCGGACATGCTCCTCCAGCGACTCAGGTGCGGCTGTTGCTCCTGCTGATTCCATTTATAAGGTGTGTGATTCTGTCACAGGTGCTGTAGGTGGGTGTGGTGCAGGAATCAAGCGCAGGACGCAGAAACTAAGTCCAAAAGACTTTAGTGAAATATTCACTTAGTACACGAGCTCAACAAGCCCGGAGGCGAAATAAAGGCGCACACAGGCGTCAAACAAAAGGCACACTAACATGTGCGAAAAACCCTCTCCCAAACAACGGAGGGAAACACGTAGCACAGAACACCAAACAGAAGCGCAATCACACACAAAACCTGACACACACAACGAGAACTAAATAGGACACTAATGAACACTAACTGGAAACAGGTGTACAACATCAAGACAAAACCAACCGAACATGAAACATACAACGGTGGCAGCTAGTACTCCGGGGACGACGACCGCCGAAGCCTGCCCGAGCAAGGAGGAGGAGCAGCCTCGGCCGAAACCGTGACAGGGTGGCTACTTTGATGAATCTAAAATCTGTTTTGGTTACTACATGATTCCGTATGTGTTATTTCATAATGTTGATGTCTTCACTATTATTCTACACTGTAGAAAATAGTAAAAAAAAAAAAAAAAACTTGAATGAGTAGGTGTGTCCAAACTTTTGACTGGTGCTGTATATTTTTAACAGCCCTATTGTGAAGTAGTAACTAGCTTCATCCGCCCGTTGTGCTTGCATGTCTCAAATATTCAGACAAATTTCGGACCTTCTCTTTCACAGTGCCAGCCACCAAGCTGAATACCCTGACCCGTTCCACGGCCGGTCCATGCCACTCCAAATATGACCTCATGGCCTTCTTCGAGATCTGTGAGCTGGAGGCCAATGGAGAGTAAGTTTTTTTAACCCCAAGGTTGTTATTTGTTTTGTTCTGTTCTGTCAAGTCAGCACAATCAGTGTCCTCTCCAAAGCACCTTGAAAAACATTTATCCTTCCTCATGGTCATTAAAGCTGCAATATGTCACTTTATGGGCGACCCAACCAAATTCACATAGAAATGTACTTTATAGATCTGTAATTCTCATTGAAAGCAAGTCTAAGACGCGGTAGATCTGTTCTATGTACACTATTTCTATGCTTCCCCATTCTTAAGTTTCGTCTTTTACTATAGGTTTTGTATACCAGCTTCAAACAGCTGAAAATACAATATTTTTGGTTATGGAAAATATATTTCACAGCGGTTTAGATGGTACAATGATTCTCTACACAATGACTGCTTGTTTTGTCACATAAACTGAAATTAGGCGAACTATTAGAGTTTTTGCAACCAGGAAATGACGGATCGATTTCTACATATTTCACCTTTAACCATTGAAATTACAGTATTTTCTCACCAAGTCATTTTATTGGTAAATACCAGTGGTAATATAACTGCAAAATAAAGGTTTACTGACAGTTTAGGGTCATTAATGTCTGTCATTGATGAATTTGTAATGTTCTGTCCTTAGCTACATCCCTTCAGTGGTGGACCACAGAGGGGGCATGCCCTGCCACGGAACCTTCCTGCTTCATCAGGGTATCCAACGGAGGATCACAGTCACCATAGCGCACGAGACAGGAAATGATGTGGAGTGGAAGGAGGTCAAGGAGCTGGTGGTGGGTGAGTACAGATGAGAGCAGACGACAATGACATGAGCACAGTAAATTCATCTTTACATAAAGATCCCATAGATCCCTCTTTATAGTACATAAAGATCCCATAGATCCCTCTTTATGGTACATAAAGATCGCATAGATTCATATTTACGATACATAAAAATCCCATAGATTCATATTTACTGTACATAAATGTCCCATAAATTCATCTTTACAGCATATAAAGATCCATCACTGACCTTTGACCTTTGACCTCTCAGGGCGTATCCGGAATACTCCAGAGGCCGATGAGACCATCATCGACCCCAACATCCTGTCTCTCAACATTCTGTCTGCGGGCTACATCTGGCCCTCATATAATGACAAGTACGTCCCCTCTTTCACAGCTAGTTACTGTACATACTGTAACACCTAATAACATGCTTGTGTATTAATGGCCTTTTCCATAATGGAACGTTGCAGTATGTTTGTTTGTTTTTTCTCTATTTCACAACTACACTGAGTATGATTTTCCATAATGGTACATTTACATAATGTTATGCTATAGTATTTTATGTCTATTTTTGTATAAACATTTTTTACAGTATTTTGGCACTGAAGACCATATGTATTTTTATCCAATGTTCTATTATGTTACTTTTTCTTCATTTTTGCCACGTTGCTACTGTGAAATCCACAGCCAAGCTGCTTGCTTATAACTTCTCGCCCTTTTCTCTTCGCGCTTCGCTGTATGGCAGTGTGTCCCTGGGAGTTGACCATAGGTATAAAACACAACCTTTCTCTCTTCTCAATTGTATGTTCCCTGAATCAGCTTTCTGTTGTTGTTGTTGTTGTTTCCTCATGCTTTCATTTGACTTCACTCTAAAAGGTGAACTCAAAGGTGTTTGTTTCTCTCCTTGTATATATGTATAGATAGTTTGTTTGAGTGTCCGTTGTTTTTGAGGGTCTTGCACAACTTAATACTTTTTTCACTTATAAGCTGATGGAGAAAAATCATATTACATGTTTCCATTCATTCGCCATTGACCAAATTAAAACAACTTATATACACAAAACCCCTGTAACGTTTGCCTGTATGTTGACTTAACAGGACGTTTTACCGATTTGAGGCGGCGTGGGATAGCTCCATGCACAACTCCCTCCTCCTGAACCGTGTCACTCCCTATGGAGAAAAGATCTGCATCACTCTCTCAGCTTACCTAGAGGTAAACACATCAACATTCGACCTAAACCTTATATCTAAACCATAACCCAAGTAGATCGGCTTGGATTAAGTGAGTTCTGATTTGGATACATTTTGTTCTAACTTTCTTTAGATGGAGAACTGCACCCAGCCGACGGTGATCACCAAAGACTTCTGTATGGTGTTCTACTCCCGTGACGCCAAGCTCCCCGCCTCACGCTCCATCAGGAACCTCTTCAGCACCGGCTGTCTCAGGCCCTCAGAGAGGTACACCCCAGTTCAACCTTCTTTCTGGTACTCTGAATCTGAACTTTATTTATATATTGTTTATAGAGTAGACACAACTCATTCTCTCCTCTCTCTCTCAGTAATCGTGTCACTGGAGTGTATGAAGTCAGTCTCTGCCATGTCGCTGATGCCGGAAGTCCCGGTAAGTTAAAGAATGACACAGGTGAAGCTTGAGAAAAATGAACGCTTCACAATGTGTCACCCTTACACAATTTGTCAAAAGCATGGATGCCGCATGTCGGTCATCCTGTGTACATTAGAACCTTGATTTAACCACAAGGTGTATCACCAAATGATCTATTGGCAGTATGTATCTGTTTTTCTACAGGCATATATGAAACACTCTGTTGTCCTCTTGTTCACCTCAGGCATGCAGCGGCGGCGCAGGCGCGTCTTGGACACCTCAGTGGCGTACGTCCGTGGGGAGGAGAACCTGGCTGGGTGGAGGCCCCGTAGCGACAGCCTCATCCTGGACCACCAATGGGAGCTGGAGAAACTCAGCCTGCTGCAGGAGGTGAGGCCTGGGATTGGTGAGGTCTGCAGGGTGATTGGGGCAAAGACTCCAGAGTAGTGGAGTCAAGTGTGATAGAATTGGTTGGTCAATAAATAGGAATACATTATGCATCATGGTTGGCATTCATATACTGTTTTCAAAGTACCTTTTATTGAATAGATTTAATACTCACCAATGAAGGTGACTCACCTGCACGATGCATGGCGGCCATTTTGTGCCAAAAGAAAGTCAATGGTTTCTCTGGTTGTGTCTGTACAGGTGGAGAAGACCAGGCACTACCTGCTGCTGCGGGAGAAACTGGAGGCCACTCTGGCAGTGGGGCAGGACACGCTCTGCAAGAGTGGTGAAATTAGCGACTTTGCCAAGAGCCCCATCCTCAGCCACTGCCCCGGGGGTAGCCCTTCCATGGAGAGCCCCAGCCAGAGGCAGAGGGAGCTGGCTGCCAAGGTGACTACCAGTCCCTGGCTTCAGTTAGGAACCAGGCCTAACACTTTCTTGGCCACCTTTTTGGTTATCTCTCTCTTTGTTGGATTAAAATAAATTATTACTTTTATTGGTAGTTATTATGAGTAATAATAATCTCTGTTTCTGCTCCTCCTCCTCCTCCTCCTCCTCCTCCTCCTCCTCCTCCTCCTCCTCCTCCTGCGGTCTCAGTGTCTGCGGCTGCTCATGCACACCTTCAACAGGGAGTACAGCCAGGTGAGCAGCAGTGCCAGTGAGAGCAAGGTGAGCCCCAGCCCCCAGCCCCCAGCCCCCAGCCCCCAGGCCCTTTAACCCCCTCTATAACCCACTTAACAGTACCCCATGCAGGCTACTTTTAACCTGCCAGTCCCTAACCCAAAGCCCTTTGTGTCCCATAGAAACTTGCCCCCTATAGACTCCGGCCCATTCTCACTGATCCCACCCAAGAAACTTGTCATCTTCATTCTTTCCCCTCCTGATCCCCTGTCTCGTTCACACACTCAGCCTTTCCGAGAATTTAGTATTCTAACAAATAACCGAATTCTAACAAGGAACTACATTTTAACGAAGAACTTAAACTTAAAACAAAATAACTAAATGATTCACCTCACTCTGTTCCTTCATTCATTCACATTTACTTGCTCATATCCTCATCATCACTCATAAACCCCATCCTCCCCGTAGATTTACCTCTGGCCTATGGAATCTTTCACCCAGCCCCTCCTTAACCTATCTTTTTTGATCATACCCCTAGCCCCCTCTTTTCTCAACCCTTCTCAGAGAATGGCAGGCTTCTTTGTCCCTACTACAGCATGTTGTCTCTAACATGTTTAACCAAAGCCTGGGGCTGAAACATATGTCCTCTCATGACCTCATCGCATTGCTTGATTAGTATCAGTTTCTGCAATAGACCCTCCAAATGCAATACAGTACAGGGGAGCTGTTGATTTATGTATAATGGTTTCAATGTATGTGTGTGCTTATTTTTGTGTGTATGTGTGTATGTTTGTTCTTGTTTACGTGCATATCTCTGTGTGTGTGTCTGTGTGATTATCTGTATGCGCTTGTGTGATTGTGTGTGTTTCAGCTGTCTGAGATGTCAGCGTCGCTGATGTCGCCGTCCTCTTCTAGTCTGAGCACGCTAACTCCGTCCTCTACTTGCCCCTCATTGGTGGAGGGCCATTATGACATCAGGTATGTGACCTTTCAACTGTCACCCCTTACTCCCATTTTATTCACCCAATACTTGCTCCTGGACAAATAGTATATGCAAATTCATTCGCTCTCTTTTTTGAGAGGACTTGGTTAATAGAGCATTGATAGAACATTGAGAGAGCACGGAGAATATTTAGAGAACGTTGAGAGTATGTTGAGAGAGTGTTTTTCCCTGGTCTGCAGACACACTGAGCCCAGCTCTGGAGCTTCCACCCCAGACCTGGACCCCTTCAGTCCTGTGGACAAGAAGAGGACCCTGGGTAGAGGCTGCACCTTTGTCCCTGACATCCAGGAGATCCGCGTCAGGTGAGACCAGACCACTTATGGTTATCACTATGGCAACAGCCTCCAGGAAGAATGAAAAACACAATATTTACATTTTACAGTTAAATGAGAAAATTAGGAAAAGGAATAAAACAACAACATGATTAAACTAGGACTACTATACAGGATTCCATAGAGACCAGATGAGTCATACAGTATGATATTGGGGTGAATTATGATATACAGTATCCATACTAGATTAATTGTTTGGAATCACTTTAAAGTTGGAAAATATATAAACAATACTTATAGTTATTTGGGTAATAATCAATGTATTGAATGGGCTGTTTTTAAAAATAAAGAAACAATACATAATAAAATAGAAATGATGTGTATTTCAGCCCCATCGTGTCTAAGAAAGGCTACCTGCATTTCCTGGAGCCCCACTCCAGTGGCTGGGTGAAGCGCTATGTAGTGGTGCGCCGGCCCTACGTCTACCTGTACCGCAGTGAGAGGGACAGCGTGGAGCGTTCCGTCATCAACCTTTCCTCCGCCCAGGTGGAATACAGCGAGGACAAGCAGACCCTGCTCCGGGTACGACCGACAAGGACTACTTCCAAATATAACATACAGTGCATTTGGAAAATATTCAGACCCCTTGACTTTTTCCACATTTTGTTAAGTTACAGCCTTTTTCTAAAATTAATTAAATTGTATTTTTTTCCCTCGTCAATCTACACACAATACCCCATAATGACAAAGCAAAAACAGGTTTTTAGAAATTTTAGCAAATGTATAAAAAATAAAAAAACAGAAGTACCTTATTTACGTAAGTATTCAGACCCTTTGCTATGAGACTTGAAATTGAGCTCAGTTGCATCCTGTTTCCATTGATCATCCTTGAGATGTTTCTACAACTTGATTGGAGTCCACCTGTGGTAAATTCAATTGATTGGACATTATTTGGAAAGGAACACACCTGTCTATATAAGGTCCCACAGTTGACAGTGCATGTCAGAGCAAAAACCAAGCCATGAGGTTGAAGGAATTGTCCGTAGAGCTCCAAGACAGGATTGTGTCGAGGTACAGATCTGTGGAAGGATACCAAAAAAGTTCTGCAGAATTGAAGGTCCCCAAGAACACAGTGGCCTCCATCATTCTTAAATGGAAGAAGTTTGTAACCACCAAGACTCTTCCTAGAGCTGGCCGCCCGGCCAAACTGAGCAATCGGGGGAGAAGGGCCTTGTTCAGGGAGGTGACCAAGAACCCGATGGTCACTCTGACAGAGCTCCAGACTTCCTCTGTTGAGATGGGAGAACCTTCCAGAAGGACAATCATCTCTGCAGCACTCCACTATTGAGGCCTTTATGGTAGAGTGGCCAGACGGAAGCCACTCCTCAGGAAAAGGCACATGACAGCCTGCTTGGAGTTTGCCAAAAGAATGTCCATGAGTGGCCCAGCCAGAGGCCGGACTTGAACCAAATCGAACATTTCTGGAGAGACCCGAAAATAGCTGTGCAGCGACGCTCCCCATCCAACCTGTCAGAGCTTGAGAGGATCTACAGAGAAGAATGGGAGAAACTCCCCAAATACAGGTGTGCCAAGCTTGTAGCGTCATACCCAAGAAGGCTCGAGGCTGTAATCGCTGCCCAAGGTGCTTCAACAAAGTACTGAATAAAGGGTCTGAATACTCATGTAAATGTGATATTTCAAATGTAATACATTCCAAAAAAAATCGAACAACCTGTTTTTGCTTCGTCATTATGGGATATTGTGTGTAGATTGAAGAAAAAAAACAATTTAGTCAATTTTAGAAGGATGTAACATAACAAAATGTGGAAAGAGTTAAGGGGTTTGAATACTTTCCAAATGCACTGTAAATATATTTATTCATTTGAAATTTTACAGGATGAAATCTCTTGAGATGCACCATCTCGTTTTCAAGTGACCAGATGAAAAAACTAACAAATATGTAACACATACACTATATATACAAAAGTATGTGGACACCCCTTCAAATTAGTGGATTCGGCTATTTCAGCCACACCCGTTGCTGACAGGTGTATAAAATCGAGCACACAGCCATGCAATCTCCATAGACAAACATTGGCAGTAGAATGGCCTTACTGAAGAGCTCAGTGACTTTCAACGTGGCACCGTCATAGGATGCCACCTTACCAACAAGTCAGTTCGTCAAATATCTGCCCTGCTAGAGCTACCCCGGTCAACTGTAAGTTCTGTTATTGTGAAGTGGAAATGTATAGGAGCAACAACGGCTCAGTCACGAAGTGGTAGACCACACAAGCTCACAGAACGGGACCGCCGAGTGCTGAAGTGCGTAGCGCGTAAAAATTGTCACTACCGAGTTCCAAACTGCCTCTGGAAGCATCGTCAGCACAATAATTGTTAATCGTGAGCTTCATGAAATGGGTTTCCAAGCCTAAGACCACCATGTGCAATACCAAGCATCGGCTGGAGTGGTGTAAAGCTCGCCGCCATTGGACTCTGGAGCAGTGGGAACGCGTTCTCTGGAGTGATGAATCACTCTTCACCATCTGGCAGTCTGATAGACGAATCTGGGTTTGGCGAATGCCAGGAGAACGCTTCCGGCCCCAATGTATAGTGCCAACTGTAGAATTTGGTGGAGGAGGAATAATGGTCTGGGGCTGTTTTTCATGGTTTGGGCAAGGCCCCTTAGTTCCAGTGAAGGGAAATATTTACGCTACAGCATACAATGACATTCTAGACGATTCTGTGCTTCCAAATTTATGGCAACAGTTTGGGGAAGGCCCTTTCCTGTTTCAGCATGACAATGCCCACGTGCACAAAGCAAGGTCCATACAGAACAGTGGAGGCTGGTGAGGGGAGGACGGCTCATAATAATGGCTGGAACGGTGCAAATGGAATGGTATCAAACACATGGAAACCATGTGTTTGGTGTATTTGATACCATTCCATTAATTCCACTCCAGCCATTACAACGAGCCCGTCCTCCCCAATTAAGGTGCCACCAATCTCCTGTGATACAGAAATGGTTTGTTGAGATCGGTGTGGAGGAACTTGACTGGCCTGCACGGAGCCCTGACCTCAACTCCATCGAACACCTTTGGGATGAATTGGAACGCCAACTGCGAGCCAGGCCTAATCGCCCAACATCAATGCCCGACCTCACTAATGCTCTTGTGGCTGTATGGAAGCAAGTCCCCGCAGCAATGTTCCAACATCTAGTGGAAAGCCTTCACAGAAGAGTGGAGGCTGATAAAGCAGTAAAGTGGGGGACCAACTCCATATTAATGGCCATGATTTTGGAATGAGATGTTCGACGAGCAGGTGTCCATGTAGTGTATATCATTAATGTATTGCAAATATATCATAAATATTTCACAAATATACTATAAATATACCACAAATACAATATACCACAAATATTTGCTGGAATATACATTTGTTCTATCAATATATTTGTAAATATATAATAAATATATCCCTACCTAATGTTATCCTGTATCTTTCCAAATGTAGCAGATTTACCATGTATCATCCTCCTAGTAACCACAGAAAATCCTCTCTGTTTTTAGACTCCAAACACGTTTGCAGTGTGCACCGAGCATCGTGGAATACTCCTCCAGGCCAGTAATGACAAGGAGATGCATGACTGGCTGTATGCTTTTAACCCCCTGCTCGCCGGAACCATCAGGTATAGTAACCCCTCACTGCCTCAACCTTGTTACCTCGTGTGTTCATTAATAAAAACCTTTCCTCAAACCTTTATTTTTAGTGTAATACCAGATTACTTAAATCTCCTTGTAAACAATTATTTAAGATTAACCCTCCCCTCTCTTACCTCTCCAAGGTCTAAGCTCTCCAGAAGAAAGTCAGGCCCGAGGATGTGAGAAACAGGAACACCTGCTGTGGGGGGGGGGGGGGGGGGAACAAACAAACAAAAAACATCTGAAATCTCCACTGACCCTCTCCTGTATATAGCTCATCTAAACAGCTCTATCCTACGCTGCTCTCTGTCCTGACAGTGCTCCATCCTGTCGCTGATACTTCCTCAAACAGCACTTAAAACCATCCCAGCTGATCTCCTATTTGACGCCTCTTCCTGGTTACCTGGAACACGCATGGTATAACCTACCCATTAAAGACCATTAAAACCCATTAAAACCCTTATACTGTAAGACTAACTAACAACCCAACCCTGTGTAGTGGGGCTTACCTCCGCTGGCTGTGATGCTCCCCATTGTCATATAGGACTTTACCTTTATCTTACAGGCTTACAGTCCCCATAGGGTTTAGCCAAACAAAGAAAAACGTTATATTCTATGTCTTAGTTCGAGTTGTTATCAGTTCCAATGTCATGCTACTTACTACTACCACCCTCTATCTGTATATGATGCCCCATATCCAAACCTCTCATGTATTTCTTATAAACACTGTAGTCTAATAAGAAAAATAACAATGGCAAAATGGTATATTCCCTTTTCTAGTCCTCTCATAAGAGATCTCTGTTTCTGTGTGTGTTTAGTGCAGGGAAGATAGCAGTACCTATCAATGCTCGTTCTCATGTTTAAACAGCATATCCACATTACCTCATGTTGAAATGGCTGGGCTGCATACTGTATCCCAGGTTTTGGACGATATACAGTGTGATAGATGGTATACTGTAATAGTACATTGGACAGTGTAGAATGAAAGTGATATAATAGGACAATGTTTTGTATCCAAAGTTTTGGACGGTATACAGTGAGATAGAAGTGTAATAGTTGGATAATACAATGGCCAGAATAGGCTAATAGGGATATGATAGGACAATAGGATGACTCTTTGGCTTCCATGTTTGGATAATGGTGAGTTTGCTGTGCTGACATTTCATAGTAACACGTTTGCTACTGTAGAGTATAAGCAATATAATACGCTGGCTGCCTGACAGTGGAGAGCAGTTGTGTCCTTGACTAATTTTCACCTTGTGTGTTTTTACATATTATTTGTGTATATACATAATCTATTCTTTTTTTTGGTTCTTTTTTTTGTATGGGATCACTGACCAGTTTTGTCGCATGGCACTTTATTGTTGCATTATATACACTTTATTTCATGAGTTGGTGTCTGTCCCAATCACTCAGTTGATTTTAACCAAAGCATTCCAATCTCTATTTAAAATAGTAAAGATATCCTCTGTTGTGTAGACTTGACAAAACGGCTCCCAGGTTTTAGTGAGATATTAATGTAATCCTCAAACCATCAAAACCTACTATTCTAATCCTCTATATTGACCCTGAATGTCTGTTTATAAGTGAATTATACCATGTGGCTACAATGAGAATGGCTCCACTCAAGCAAGTTGACGTTTATTGTGTTCTATGGTGGTGGGTTACAGTATATTGAATAATTGTATGGAAAAATGAGATCATACTGTTTTGATAAGTTAGTGGGATATTTTGGACCTTTTTTCCGACAGTCGAGTTGTGAGTCTGAAAGTGCATTGTTATGCACCAGGTAGTGCCTCCCTTTCTTCACTTCTCTCTCTATTTTTCCAGTTTTTCATCAATTCCACACTTTCATATCGTTGACGTCCACCACGTTAGCTCAATATTACATGTATCGAAGCAAACATTTATTTACTGTGATGCTATGAACTTTATATTGACGCTATGTGTCCATGTGAATCCACCATTTTGATTAAAAGGCCTAGTACAGTATATAGGCTACATCAGCTCCTTGTGTAAAGTAGCATCTAACATCCTTTGCTCTGCTTTTGTATAGCTGTTTTACAGCCTGGTGCTTGTATCAGAAACCTATACAGTATGAACCTGTTGATATTAAGAAGTCTCACAGCTTAGGAAGCAGTTTATTGTTGCTGTGACCATACTGCTATACCCAGATGACCACAAACTGCTATCTGAAACGAAAATAGTCCAAAGTCAATCAAGTAAAAGTAAAGTGACTCTTCAGTTCTACTTTGGTCTAGCAGCCATAAAAGATTGGCAATTTCAAACTAAAGTTGCCTCATAGTCTAACTGTTCTGTGCTCTTGCATGACCATGCTTTATTGAAAATCAAGTGCTAGTCTTGTGTTTACTGTAACATCATGTGTGAGCGCAGCAGACTGATCATGGCCAGACAGCCAATTGGATCATGTCCTACTGTTGTTCCTTGTTCTTACTGCGAGGGTCATGGTTCGGTCAAACACAATTCTCCTGTGTAACACATAGTGCATGGCTTAGGCCAGCCAACCTACAGAGCATGCTCAGATAGCCACAGCAAGGTAAAACATGCAAGACATGGCATACTCACACGTAGTTCCATAACTAAGCGCTTATAGCCTCATTTATGAACATATCCTCTTATATCCTCCCAATAAGGAATACATTGCTGTTATACTGCAGTGCAATATTTGAGAGTTGATTGGTTTTAGTGGAAAATCACTCCCCATAGTGGTTCTTTCTGTTTTCTGTTTCTAGAACACTGACACCAAAAACACAACCTATCACTAGGTAAATACCGTTAACTATGGAATATGGGATTCATATTGTGAATCAGGTTGTGGTCATCTTGGTGTATGCATTTGAAGCTTTGTTGTACACTGGTATGCCAATTTATTTTGCCTGCTCGAACAATGGAAGAAAATAAAGCTTTTTTTTTATGAATTCTTGTTGCTATTTGGAGGTGGAGTATGTAAGTAGGGAATGTTTGAGCTATTGAATTGTCATCCAAGTATAATTTATTGTATTTATCACATATCATAATTGAATGAAGAGTGTGTGAGTAAGATTGGTTGGGGGATACGATATTATCCCTCAACAGAAGGAGATGTTGTTTTTTAAACTGTACTATTGTCGCTTTAGCGTGTAGCACCTTAAATGCATCTAACTGTATCTACTGTAAAGATTACTCTTAACTCTACTTGTTAATGCTAGGAGTAAAAATGACTCTTAACTCTACTTGTTAATGCTAGGACATCTGACTTTCCGTCCTCAAAGAAGAATTCACTACAAGTTAAAACAACGCATTTGAAGTTCAGTGAGCTGGCTATATACGATTATGGATGGATTCTTTCACTGATTTGACTGTTTTTTTTTACGTGACATTACATTTCCTGGATCCAAGCATGTAGATGTGTCTCTTCCTCACCCTGGTGTCTCTCTTTCCCTTACTGCTTGCTATTGACGTCCTATCCCCCTCAGTGCAGCCCTGTAGAGAAACGTCCATCTCCATGGCTCTGTATTGACTCTTCTTGACATTTGATTGGCTCCTTTCTTGTAAATAATGAACCTGATTGGCTGTGGTGTATCCTATCACACAGATGTAACCCCCCGTCCCTTTATACCATAATAACTGGCCTGAGATGTCATCTCAGTGCTCACGTTATCGTTGCGTGTTGGAGGGAGTTCTAGTGTCTTCTAATGTTTGTGGACACGTAACCGGTTGTCAAAATACAGTGAAATAAATGTGAAACTTATGCAACATTTGCTTGTGTCCTTTGTTTGGATTTTGTTTGGCATCGATTATTAGCTAAAGATCATAGATGTGCGGGTTTGGACAAGTCAACTCGACAACTAGAGTTCTAAGTGCCTAATGCAGTGCTATTCATTCCTGTTCCTGGGGAACCTACATGGTGTGCATGTTTTTGGTCCAGTCCAGCACTAACACAGCTGATTCAACTAATCAAATACTTGATGATTGTTTTTTTGGTTGAACACTGCTCCAGTGTGACCCCAAAAGCAATGTGCTCTCTCTTAAGACAGTCAATGTGTGTGTGTCTGTGTGTGTGTTTGGCCCTACCTGTTCAGTGTGTGTGTGTGTGTGTGGTCCTCGACGCCCGTGATGGCCTCCCTCCATAATTGATAATGCACTCAGGATGTTCTCAGGCCAGACAGACACGTCATTAAGCCTAATCCCTTAATAACCAAGACATAAATGGTTTGTTGATTACTCCACACAATGGAACCCAATAGTGTGCCATGGTGGGGATGGTGCAGATGGGAATACAGGACAATTCAGGGATTAAAAGGCCTTTGTAATCTGTGACATATTGGGGAGGATGGCCTGTTGTATGTGGGATTCATATTTGACAGTGTGTTAGAGAGAGAGAGAGAGTTTGTGTGTGTGTTTCTCCCTACAGCCTCAATCATTTTGTTTTGGCCCCATCACTGCAAAGCCAGATCTCTTTATCAATCAATAGCCTGATGCCAATGAATGTCTCTGATGCTACAACATAATGGCTACCCAATCAGCCAAGCAGTATTCAATGCCTCTCTGTTCTGACTGATCTGCCTGAGAGGCATTGCTCGCCTTCCTTTGTCACGTCATTTCTTTCACCTGCCCTAGCCTTTGGTTCCATCACATACAGTGGGGAAAAAAAGTATTTAGTCAGCCACCAATTGTGCAAGTTCTCCCACTTAAAAAGATGAGAGAGGCCTGTAATTTTCATCATAGGTACACGTCAACTATGACAGACAAATTGAGAGAAAAAAAATCCAGAAAATCACATTGTAGGATTTTTTATGAATTTATTTGCAAATTATGATGGAAAATAAGTATTTGGTCACCTGCAAACAAGCAAGATTTCTGGCTCTCACAGACCTGTAACTTCTTCTTTAAGAGGCTCCTCTGTCCTCCACTCGTTACCTGTATTAATGGCACCTGTTTGAACTTGTTATCAGTATAAAAGACACCTGTCCACAACCCCAAACAGTCACACTCCAAACTCCACTATGGCCAAGACCAAAGAGCTGTCAAAGGACACCAGAAACAAAATTTTAGACCTGCACCAGTCTGGGAAGACTGAATCTGCAATAGGTAAGCAGCTTGGTTTGAAGAAATCAACTGTGGGAGCAATTATTAGGAAATGGAATACATACAAGACCACTGATAATCTCCCTCGATCTGGGGCTCCTCGCAAGATCTCACCCCGTGGGGTCAAAATGATCACAAGAACGGTGAGCAAAAATCCCAGAACCACACGGGGGAACCTAGTGAATGACCTGCAGAGAGCTGGGACCAAAGTAACAAAGCCTACCATCAGTAACACACTACGCCGCCAGGGACTCAAATCCTGCAGTGCGAGACGTGTCCCCCTGCTTAAGCCAGTACATGTCCAGGCCCGTCTGAAGTTTGCTAGAGTGTATTTGGATGATCCAGAAGAGGATTGGGAGAATGTCATATGGTCAGATGAAACCAAAATAGAACTTTTTGGTAAAAACTCAACTCGTCGTGTTTGGAGGACAAAGAATGCTGAGTTGCATCCAAAGAACACCATACCTACTGTGAAGCATGGGGGTGGAAACATCATGCTTTGTGGCTGTTTTTCTGCAAAGGGACCAGGACGACTGATCCGTGTAAAGGAAAGAATGAATGGGGCCATGTATCGTGAGATTTTGAGTGAAAACCTCCTTCCATCAGCAAGGGCATTGAAGATGAAACGTGGCTGGGTCTTTCAGCATGACAATGATCCCAAACACACCGCCCGGGCAACGAAGGAGTGGCTTCGTAAGAAGCATTTCAAGGTCCTGGAGTGGCCTAGACAGTCTCCAGATCTCAACCCCATAGAAAATCTTTGGAGGGAGTTGAAAGTCCGTGTTGCCCAGCGACAGCCCCAAACATCACTGCTCTAGAGGAGATCTGCATGGAGGAATGGGCCAAAATACCAGCAACAGTGTGTGAAAACCTTGTGAAGACTTACAGAAAACGTTTGACCTGTGTCATTGCCAACAAAGGGTATATAACAAAGTATTGAGAAACTTTTGTTATTGACCAAATACTTATTTTCCACCATAAATTGCAAATAAATTCATAAAAAATCCTACAATGTGATTTTCTGGATTTTTTTTCCTCATTTTGTCTGTCATAGTTGACGTGTACCTATGAATAAAATTACAGGCCTCTCTCATCTTTTTAAGTGGGAGAACTTGCACAATTGGTGGCTGACTAAATACTTTTTTTCCCCACTGTACATACACCCACGTGACATTGGGTCTACTGTACTTCCATATTCCAGGACATCCAATCCCACCCTTGAATAATTAACACTAAGAAGGCCCCTATCTGAGGGTTTGGAACATGGGCCACTCTTCCTTGGCCTGCTTGTTCATTGGCTGGCTGGCTAAAGAGGGCGTCAAAGAAGTTGAGGACCGTTTCTCAAACATACCAGCACTTAATCTGTGCCAGGAATCCAGCAGTTATTGTAAGTATACATCTTTGGTTAGAGGAATCTCTGGTGAAAATGTTTTATGTGGAACCATAGTTGGGTGTTTTGAGAAGGCAAAAAATGTGATAATTGGAGTACTGGAGGGTAGAGTTTCACCAGCAGAGATAGATCTGTGTCTAGACATAATGTGGACTATTATCAGTATTTTTAGCATTTACACAACTGCCTTTCTATTGCATGCCAAGCCATGTTGTCTGATTCCTTGAACAAAAGGATTTTATAAAATGGGGAAATAACCATAATAGGGACATTTTTGTTCAGTGTGTCAGTCTCCAGGTGAGGTGACTGATAAACTACTGTAAACAGATAGCGATGACTTTTGTTTCATATTGTCCTGTTACTGAAAGATAGGGTATCGTTGCTGTGATTGTGTGGGGGACTTACGGATGCTTATAAAACGGCTAAACATATGACAAGCTTGCTCAAAATTAGATATGGAAAGCATAAATTTGCTTATGTGTTCAATGTTCATGCATTCAATTCATTATTCTTTCAATTGGGCTCTTAATATCTTAAAGTTACACTAATTAGAGTGTGTATTACTGTAGCTAAGTAACCACAGCACTTGGATTAAGTGCCAGTGTAGTGTTCTTGGGTGGCACAGCCTACCCTAAGTGGACCTTGTAGCATTTAGGCTAATTAATAGCATTAAGTCCTCAAAAATCCTGTGAATCACTAAGGTTACCTGAACCGTGCGATCAGGTGTCGGACCTCTTACACACTCACTGTCTGTCTCTCCTACATCCCATGGGGGGTATGCTACATTCAACAGTCTGGGCTCCCGTTTCACCTCTAGCTTTTACCTCTGGACTTTGTGTACAGTAGTGTGTGTGTGTTTGTGTGTGTGTTTGCATACTGTATGTATCCTCCTTCCTGGGGGTCTTGGTCTCTTAGAAGATTGGTTTGGGGCCTCTTATCGACTCATGGGTCATGTTCTGAGGTCACGTTTCTCTCTAGGTGGGGTACTCTTGGCCAGTTTGTGTCTGTGTGTTGTTGATGTCGTTGTTGTTTTTGTTACAATGCTTAATGTAGGTGAAATGTCATGTGAACAGTATGGGTAACCCAATTTACAACTGATAATCATCCGACAATAACGTCAACTGCTATGCTATGTGGTGTTTTTCCTCTCTGACACTGTCTTTCAGAGAGTGTTCCCATCCAGAGAGAAAGAGAGGAGTGGGAGACCAGCAGTGTATTAGAGGTTCTGGGTCCAAAGATACTCCTAGGACTTGAACTTGACCTTGAACTATCCTGCCTACCTGGACAAAAGGAGGAAACTATTCACGGGCTGAAATGGAGAGCAGCAAGGTGATCAACCCTGAAGTCTGGGAAACCAGTCACTGTTCAGTAGTTGATTGTGTTGTAATACGTTTATATTGTATGCATATACACTGAGTGCACAAAACATTATGAACACCTGGTCTTCCATGGCATAGACTGACCAGGTGAATCCAGGTGAAAGCAATGATCCCTTATTGATGTCACTTGTTAAATGCACCTCAATCAGTGTAGATGAAGAAGAGGAGACAGGGTAGCCCTTTCCTGCAGTCAAATGACCTAGTGGCCTCATGGGTGGAATGTTATTCATGTTTTTCATAATTTCATAATTAATCAACCGTTTTTTTAAACTCCAAAAATCCTGTGTTTCTATGTCAAACAGTTTTGTTATATTTCAGTCTTCTGTGATGTATATAAAGTGTAATATTGAGATGAAAACTAAAAATTGAATACATTTCAACTCTATATCTGACTTGGTACAGGTGTCTTCTTTTTTGTAGGCCCATAACCATGTGTGTGAGGTCTATACTTTTGTTTCAAAGTAGATTTGTTTAAGACTACCAAGAAACACTCTGTGTGACCCTGAATTAGCCCACTGCAGTAAAAGGTTAAAGAATGATTTTTAAGCCTTGAGACAATTGAGACATGGATTGTGTATGTGTGCCATTCAGAGGGTGAACGGGCAAGACAAAAGATTGAAGTGCCTTTGAATGGGGTAGTAGGTGCCAGGAGCACCGGTTTGTGTCAAGAACTGCAAAGCTGCTGGGTGTTTCACGCTCAACAGTTTCACATGTGTATCAAGAATGGTCCACCACCCAAAGGACATCCAGCCAACTTGACACAACTGTGGGAAGCATTGAAGTCAACATGGGCCAGCATCTCTGTGGAAAGCTTAGTAGAGTCCATGCCCTGACGATTTGAGGCTGTTCTGAGGGCAAAAGGGGGTGCAACTAAATATTAGGAAGGTGTTATTTATGTTCTGTACACTCAGTGCACATATCCATATGGTATATATAATATTATAAATATATTGTAAATATATATATTTCTATATATATATATTACAATACTAAATATATGTGTAATATATTTGTAATATATCTTTGTTCCAATATATTTATCTATTACTGTTTATTTATTGACATATTCCTCATCCCTGTCCTATATGTGTCCCCAGCAGCCGATGAAGGAGGTGCCTCCCCAGCCTCGCTACCTCACCCCGCCCCCGGCATCATCCTCACCTTTGACCCCCTCAATGAGAAACGCCACTGGCTCCATGCAACATGTACAGGTGGCCTCTTCTGGTAAGGAGCCATGAGGACTTTGTAAGACAACTCCAGATAGTTGTTCATATGTGTCGCGGCCTGGGGAAACCCTTTAAAGAAAAAGGATGCGGGTCAAAAATGAAATAATGAATGACCTAGTGAGATGACAGTAAAATGCCTCTCGCTGACCTAGTGAGATATACATGGCGGAGGCTACTTTCTTATGACATTCTCTGGAACCAAAAGTTTAAAAAAGTCTTGATAGGGGACAGAATGCGGTTGGACCATCAAATAATTGGCATATATATTACTCTTACAGAATTTCTACGTGGGCGAGGATATTGGAAATGTAATCAAAGTCTATTGGATGATAACTTGTTTTTAACTAGGACAGAAGAATTTAGAACTGACTTTTTCCGACATAACATAGGTACAGCAGATCACCTTATTGTATGGGACACTTTTAAATGTGCTTTTAGAGGCCATGCAATTCAGTACTCATCTCTAAAACAAAAGCAATTTAGATCAGAAGAGTCCATGTTAACAAAGGAAATGGAAGGACTAATAGTACAGACAGATATCAATAAAAACTGTACTTTAGAGGCTCAGAATAAGTTAGAGGAAAAACAAAAAGAAATGTAGGAACTTATTCAAGAAAGATCAAGTGTAATATAAAAATAAAGCGAACTGGATGGAATATGGGGAAAAATGCACCAAATTATTTTTTAATCTTCAACATAGAAATGCTACCAAAAATCATTTACTGAAACTTGTTACAAATGACGGAGTCACCCATGATTCACCAAACAATATTTTGAAAGAGGAAGTAAAGTACTTTAAGCATATGTTTTCGTTTCAGTCTCCTCCATCTCCACTAACCGAAGCTAATTGTCTGGATTTTTATTTTCTATGAATTATTTAAAATTAACAGCTGTACTCATGTGAAGGCCAAATTACAGAGGAGGAACTTCTTGATGCAATTAAAGTCAGGGAAAACTCCAGGGCTGGATAGCATACCAGTGGAGGTATAACAAACCTTTTTTGATATACTCAGAGGACCGTTATTAGCATGTTTTAACCACTCCTATATCAATGGTAGATTATCAGACACTCAACAAGAAGGTCTGATTTCATTATTACTGAAACAGGATACAAGTGGTAAGTATTAAAGATCCAGTCCATTTAAAAATTGGAGGCCTCTTACACTTCAGTGTTGTGATCCAAAAATTCTAGCAAAATGCATAGCACATATAATTAAAAAGGTATTGTCGGATATTATTCATCCTAATAAGACATGTTTTTTACATGGACGGTACATTGGAGATATAAGACAAGTACTGGAAACAATAGAACACTATGAAAATTCTGGGAAACCAGTCCTGGTATTCATAGCTGACTTTGAAAAGACTTTTGATAAAATACGACTGGAGTTTATATATACAGTTGAAGTCGGAAGTTTACATACACTGGATTGGAGTCATTAAAACTCGTTTTTCAACCACTCCACAAATTTCTTGTAAACAAACTATAGTTTTGGCAAGTCGGTTAGGACATCTACTTTGTGCATGACACAAGTCATTTTTCCAACAATTGTTTACAGACAGATTATTTCACTTATAATTCACTGTATCACAATTTCAGTGGGTCAGAAGTTTACATACACTAAGTTGACTGTGCCTTTAAACAGCTTGGAAAATTCCAGAAAATGATGTCATGGCTTTAGAAGCTTTTGATAGGCTAATTGACATAATTTTAGTCAATTGGAGGTGTACCTGTGGATGTATTTCAAGGCCTACCTTCAAACTCAGTGCCTCTTTGCTTGACATCATGGGAAAATCAAAAGAAATCAGCCAAGACCTCAGACATTTTTCTGTAGACCTCCACATTCATCTGTACAAACAATAGTACGCAAGTATAAACACCATAGGACCACGCAGCCGTCATACCGCTCAGGAAGGAGACGCGTTCTGTCTCCTAGAGTGCAAATCAATCCCAGAACAACAGCAAAGGACCTTGTGAAGATGCTGGAGGAAACAGATACAAAAGTATCTATATTCAGAGTAAAATGAGTCCTATATCGACATAACCTGAAAGGCCACTCAGCAAGGAAGAAGCCGCTGATACAAAACCGCCATAAAAAAGCCAGACTACGGTTTGCAACTGCACATGGGGACAAAGATCGTACTTTTTGGAGAAATGTCCTCTGGTCTGATTAAACAAAATTATAACTGTTTGGCCATAATGACCATCATTATGTTTGAAGGAAAAAGGGGGTGCTTGCAAGCCGAAGAACACCATCCCAACTGTGAAGCACGGGGTGGCAGCATCATGCTGTGGGGGTGCTTTGCTGCAGGAGGGACTGGTGCACTTCACAAAATAGATGGCATCATGAGAAAGGAAAATGATGTGGATATATTGAAGCAACATCTCAAGACATCTGTCAGGAAGTTAAAGTGTGGTCCCAAATGGGTCTTCCAAATGGACAATGACCCCAAGCATACTTCCAAAGTTGTGGCAAAATGGCTTAAGGACAACAAAGTCAAGGTATTGGAGTGGCCATCACAAAGCCCTGACCTCAATCCTATAGAACATTTGTGGGCAGAACTGAAAAAGTGTGTGCGAGCAAGGAGGCCTACAAACCTGACTCAGTTACACCAGCTCTGTCAGGAGGAATGGGCCAAAATTCACCCACCTTATTGTGGAAGGCTACCTGAAACGTTTGACCTAAGTTAAACAATTTAAAGGCAATGCTACCAAATACTAATTGAGTGTATGTAAACTTCTGACCCACGTGGAATGTGATGAAAGAAATAAAAGCTGAAATAAATAATTCTCTCTACTATTATTCTGACATTTCACATTCTTCAAATAAAGTGGTGATCCTAACTGAACTAAGACAGGGAATTTTTACTAAGATTAAATGTCAGGAATTGTGAAAAACTTAGTTGAAATGTATTTGGCTAAGGTGTATGTAAACTTCCGACTTAAACTGTAAATGCCTGGAATATTTCAATTTTGCAGAATCTCTTATAAAATGGGGTAAAGTTATTTATAGTAACCCTAGCTGTAAAATAGTAAATAATGGCTACTTCTCAGAAAGTTTTAAACTGTTGTGGTATCTGAGGAATTTATGATTTTGCTAACGTTTTCAAATGGTATCTTGGAGGATGTTGATTCAGCTTAGGGAAGCATCTGGGGAGCAGTTTTATAGGGGCACCCCATAAAACAGAGGAAGTCTGTTGTGTGGAGTCATGGGATTGGTCTGTATGGGAAAACACTCATATCATCGTAAAGATTATAAATACTTGGTTGAGACAAAGGAGGATAGAACAACATATTATTTTGGGTTGCCGTTCTCCAGATGCCTGCAGACGTCTGTAAACTTATGCTGAAATCTTGTGATATAAATAAACCTTTATAATCAAAGTACAGTGTAAGCGGACTCCTTGGTCTCACAGCAAAGATTAGCATTATTCTTTATAAACAACACTGTCAAGAGGAGTAAAACAAGGTTGTCCACTATCGGCATATCTATTTACCATTGCCATTGAAATGTTAACTGTTAAAATCAGATCCAACAATAATATCAAGGGGTTCGAAATCCAGGGCTTAAAAACAAAGGTGTCATTGTACACTGATGATTCATGTTTTCTTTTAAATCCACAATTTGGATCCCTCCACAGCCTCATAGAGGATCTAGATACATGTTCTAACCTCTCTGGATTACAACCAAATTATGACAAATGTACTATATTACATATTGGATCACAAAAAAATACAACTTTTACATTACTGTGTAGTTTACCAATAAAATGGTCTGACGGTGATGTGGACATACTCAGTATACATATCCCGAAATAAAGAAATGATCTCAATCCAATACATTTTAATAAAAAGTTAGCAAAAATAGATAGGATTTTGCTACCATGGAAAGGAAAAGACCTGTCTATTTGTGGGAAAATCACCCTGATTAACTCTTTAGTCATACCCCAGTTTACCTATTTGCTTATGGTCTTGCCTACACCTAGCGACACGTTTTATAAATTATATGAGCAAAAGATATTCAATTTTATTTGGAACGGCAAGCCAGACAAAATTAAAAGGGCCTATTTATATAATGAATATGAATTTGGAGGGCAGAAATGATTAAATATTAAAGCATTAGGCCTCTCACTAAAGGCGTCAGTCATACAAAAGTTATACTTAAATCCGAACTGGTTCTCTAGAAAATTAGTAAGAATTTCTCGCCCAATGTTCAAGAATGGCCTTTCTCCCTTTATTCAGATTACAACCTCTCACTTTCAGTTATTTGAAAATGAAATAATCTCCAAAATAACGCTATTTTTAAAACAAGCCATAGAAAGTTGGTTGCAATTTCAGTTTAATCCATCAGAAAATACAGAACAAATAATACAACAAATATTGTGGTTAAACTCAAATATACTAATTGATTAAAAAAACATAATTTTCTGATAAATGATCTTGCATGGAGCCCCAGACCGAGGATGATTGACCGTCATCTTGAACTTCTTCCATTTTCTAATAATTGCGCCAACAGTTGTTGCCTTCTCACCAAGCTGCTTGCCTATTGTCCTGTAGCCCATCCCAGCCTTGTGCAGGTCTACAATTTTATCCCTGATGTCCTTACACAGCTCTCTGGTCTTGGCCATTGTGGAGAGGTTGGAGTCTGTTTGATTGAGTGTGTGGACAGGTGTCTTTTATACAGGTAACGAGTTCAAACAGGTGCAGTTAATACAGGTAATGGGTGGAGAACAGGAGGGCTTCTTAAAGAAAAACTAACAGGTCTGTGAGAGCCGGAATTCTTACTGGTTGGTAGGTGATCAAATACTTATGTCATGCAATAAAATGCAAATTAATTACTTAAAAATCATACAATGTGATTTTCTGGATTTTTGTTTTAGATTCCATCTCTCACAGTTGAAGTGTACCTATGATAAAATTACAGACCTCTACATGCTTTGTAAGTAGGAAAACCTGCAAAATCGGCAGTGTATCAAATACCTGTTCTCCCCACTGTATATACAAAAAAATATATGGGGGATTGGAAATTATGCAGACAATTACATTGTTGGAAGCTACAATCTATCTGCAATATTAAAGCTGATCTACTCCCCCAAAAAATAAACATACATTTAAAAAAGATGCCTCTCGCTTCCAAAACGTTTAGGATAGGATATCGATTGCTTTGCTATCTAAAATTGAAATAATTCTGAATTGCTGAAATTACTGCAATACTGTTAAAGAGCGACTGAACTGTACAACCACCTTCTCTGGTTGAATACGGCCTATGTGGCATCGATATGAGTCAGAAATATTTATTCTAGGGTCAGAAATGGCTATAAAGTGTAAATAGGATCATTTTGGTCATTAAGTCAGTATCGTCCAAAATTGAGATTTGCAGATGTTAGGAATATATTGTACGTAATAGTTTTCCTTGGGTTGGGTTTATTTCAATCCTGCCCATATGCCCATAGCTGGCAGCACCCAAGTAATCATCAATTCAGAGCGAAGCTGCACGCAACCCAATCGTTATGCCCACACTGACCATGGTCAATTTGGTTTGACTTTGCATATCCCCATTGGGCCAGTTAGGGACCATCATTAAATTACACAATGTACATGGTGCAATATATATATTTTTTTAATAGCTTCAAATATCAATTACTTAAAAAACCTCTAACTATAAATTGTAGAAATTCATATACAAATATTGAAAGCATTTAATGAGAAAACTAAAAGGCGTACAAGATGAAAGTATTGTCCCATTTACATTGTGTAATTTATTGACAGTCCCTAACTAGCCCCACAGATAGGCTATCCAAAATCAAACCAACCTTGACATGGTCGCACACCGGCTGAAGCTGATTGGCGAAAGAAGTTGGCTAGCTTGCTAGCTAGTCTAGTCTACTTCCAGACAGAAGAACTGGTTAAACTGTTTCAAGTTATTTAGAAGGGTGAGTGACTGTAACTGTGTACTGTTTTGGCTGAGTGAATGTACAAACACTCTCGTTCTCAGTCACATTTCCTAATGAGGAGGATTGAAACAGAGGCTAAATCAGTCAGTTCATCCTCTCTTTAATACATTTCGATCACTTTTCTTGTCATTTTGGCCAGCTAATAACCACTTATCAAGCAACATCGGTAGAAAGTGTGAACCTCTTTTAATTAAAGGATTAACGTTAGCTCCAGCATACGGCTGGCTACATGTTGGCAAAATTAAAATCAGACCCACTTTTATTCATAACTACATCCTTGATTGTAAATGACAACTTTATAGTACTACATTACTTACTAGCTAGCTAATTATTTTGTGTCTAAACCAACCAGATTTTATTGATCTGCAGCATTTTATCTTGAATGGGCCAAGTCAGCTGCGACACTCTCACTAGGGGAAGTTTGAGCTAGCATTTTCACATTGGGCATGCTAGCTAACATGTAAAAAAAAACCTTGGACTTGAACTATTTACCACAAGTAATCATACACTATTCTTACATTACAATAAAGTACAGGGTTTTAAGTATCCAAAACAACTAAAATCAAAATTTCCACAAAGATACATTTTCGTTGAAGCATGATATAACAGATGTTGTGTTTGCTTTTGTAGTTGTTGGCTCCTTTAATTTGCTGAAGCCTCCAGAGAGGGACCAGACCCTGTTCTCCCAGATGAAGTCTATCAAGTCTCTGAGACAGGCTGGGATCACTGCTGTCTTCACTGGACAAAACGTCAGTCCTTTCATGGAGCTTGTTCTGATAGATAGATAGATAGATAGACGTTATCTGTGCGCTATTGTTTCTTTGCATGTTCACCTGGGAGTGTTGAGCAACACAAGTCAATCTAGGCCTATATAAATAAAATAAAATATAATTTGTATGCTCTGTGTAATATAATGCTCTATAATGATGTGAAGAGTTTAATTCCAAAACGCTATATATCCATTTTCAGAAATGTTGGTCAATTAGTATTTTTTTATACTTATGAAAGAGATTGGTGTGTATTTTTCACATCTAATCATAGCATGGGGTTGTTAAATGACAGACATGTATTTGTTTGAAACCTATCACTAGAATGACAAACAATCACATTTTGTTGCAAAGCAAGATACACAGTGTATTCGGAAAGTATTCAGACTCCTTGACTTTTTCCACATTTTGTTACGTTACAGCCTTATTCTAAAATGGATAAATAATCAAAATAATTCTCATCAATCTACACACAATACCCCATAATGACAAAGCACAAACAGGTTTTTAGATATTTTTGCAAATGTATTAAATAAAGTATTCAGACCCTTTACTCAGTACTTTGTTGAAGCACCTTTGGCAGCGATTACACACTTGAGTCTTCTTGGGTATGACGCTACAAGCTTGGCACACCTGTATTTGGGGAGTTTCTCACATTCTTATCTGCAGATCCTCTCAATCTCTGTCAGGTTGGATGGGTAGCGTCGCAGCACAGCTATTTTCAAGTCTCTCCAGAGATGTTCGATCGGGTTCAAGTCCGGGCTCTGGCTGGGCCACTCAAGGACATTCAGAGACTTGTCCCGAAGCCACTCCTGCATTGTTTAGGCTGTGTGCTTAGGGTCATTGTCCTGTTGGAAGGTCAACCTTTGCCCCAGTCTGAGGTCCTGAGCGCTCTGGAGCAGGTTTTCATCAAAGATCTCTATGTACTTTGCTCCATTCATCTTTCCCTCGATCCTGACTAGCCTCTCAGTCCCTGCCGCTGAAAAACATCCCCACAGCATGATGCTGCCACCACCATGCTTCACCGTAGGGATGGTGCCAGATTTCCTCCAGATGTGACACTTGACATTCAGGCCAAAGAGTTCAATCTTGGTTTCATCAAAACAGAGAATCTTGGTTCTCATGGTCTGAGAGTCCTTTAGGGGCTTTTTGGCAAACTTGAAGTGGGCTGTCATGTGCCTTTTACTGAGGAATGGGTTCCGTCTGGCCACTCTACCATAAAGGCCTTATTGGTGGAGTGCTGCAGAGTTGGTTGTCCTTCTGGAAGGTTCTTCCATCTCCACAGAGGAACTCTGGAGCTCTGTCAGAGTGACCATCGGGTTCTTGGTCACCTCCCTGACTAAGGCCCTTCTCCCCCTGATTACTCAGTTTGGCCGGGCGGCCAGCTCTAGGAAGAGTCTTGGTGGTTCCAAACTTCTTCCATTTAAGAATGATGGAGGCCACTGTGTTCTTGGGGAACTTCAATGCTGCAGACATTTTTTGGTACCCTTCCCCAGATCTGTGCCTCGACACAATCCTGTCTCGGAGCTCTTCGGACAATTCCTTCAACCTCATGGCTTGGTTTTTGCTCTGACATGCACTGTCAACTGTGGGACCTTATATAGACAGGTGTGTGCCTTTCCAAATCATGTCCAATCAATTGAATTTACCACAGGTAGACTCCAATCAAGTTGTAGAAACATCTCTAGGATGCACCTGAGCTCAATTTCGAGTCTCATAGCAAAGGGTCTGAATAATTATGTAAATAAGGTATTTCCGTTTTTTATATTTAATAAATTTGCAAATATTTCTAAAAACCTGTTTACGCTTTCTCATTATGGGGTATTGTGTGTAGATTAATGAGGATTTGTATTTATTTCATCCATTTTAGAATAAGGCTCTAACATAACAAAATGTGGAAAAAGTCAAGGGGTCTGAAAACCTTCCGAATGCACTGTATCCGACTCACTCTCCGAGAAAAAAGTAAACCTGCAAGTTTTTACACAGTCAAATGTGACAAATAATTACATTTTTAATATGGAACTGTACACATTATACATTTGTGACATCAATAATTAAAAATATACACTACCAGTCAAGTTTGGACACACCTACTCATTCAAGGTTTTTACTTTCTTTCTTATTTCTTATTATAGGGCTATCTTCTGTATACCCCCCCTACCTTGTCACAACACAACTGATTGGCTCAAACACATTAAATTCCACAAATTAACTTTTAAGAAGGCACACCTGTTAATTGAAATGCATTCCAGGTGACTACCTCATGAAGCTGGTTGAGAGAATGCCAATAGTGTGCAAAGCTGTCATCAAGGCAAAGGGTGGCTATTTGAATAATATATTTGGATTTGTTTAACACTTTTTTGGTTACTACATGATTCCATATGTGTTATTTCATAGTGTTGATATCTTCACTATTATTCTACAATGTAGAAAATAGTAAAAATAAAGAAAAACCCTTGAATGAGTAGGTTTGTCCAAACTTTTGATTGGTACTGTATATCTTTTGATCAATGCAGTAATATGAGATATAGGCTCTTGTCAAAAGTAATGCACTATATAGGGAATAGGGTGCCATTTGGGATGAGGCCTAACTCTAACCAAACACTATAGCATGAGGCTAGATTAATGATGAGTTGAATTTACATGTTAAATATACAGGATATGAGCATCCATTCCAGCTAAACAATGGATATATAGCATTTTGCAACAAAACCCATTTTAATATACATCTAAAATCTATAAAAATCTGAGAACAGTCATATTTTACATACACATAAAGGTACCCATAAGCATTCATTTCTGATAAAATAACAGAAATGAGAAAAATTGTTGGATACAGCGTTTTGGAAATAAACTATGTGTTGATGGTATATTATCTCCTCAGAGGGCTGACAGTGAGGGAGAGCTACTGGAGCTCATCCCCATAGAGGAGGTGATCCTGGCTGACATAGACTCTCTGGTGCCCACCCACGACGAGAATGGCCGGCCCATTGCCGAGTGGAAGAGGCAGGTTATGGTGCGCCAACTCAAGGCTAGGCTACAGGACGAGGAGGAGCAAAGGATGAAGGTATGTTTTCAACACATGCATGTAGCATTCTGTATAGTCATTATCTGCTATGGAAGCAGAATCATGCCAAAAATATAAATAAATATATTGTCATCAATTTGCTTCCATAGTTTTCAGGATATGGACTGGAGTAAATTACCATTGGGTGTCTGAGGATTGTGCCATTTATAGTGTGGAAGAATCTCTAACAACCTCGCAACAAAGTATTTTTCATGTGTAACTCTAGTTTTGTTTAGCATGTAGCTAGATAAAATTAGCATGTAGCTGATGATGCTAACCATTTTAGCTTGAACCTTTTCACTGTTTTTAAGTTGAGACCTTTCCTTCCTTTGCTCACCACCAGGACATGGTTAACAGCAACACTGAGGCAGATGGCTGGAAGTACTCCCAGGCCCACAACGCCATCCTGGGCCCGTTCGGCGAGCTGCTGACTGAGGACGACCTGCTCTACCTTGAGAGGCAGATCGAGAATGTGTCCATGCAGAAGCGCTGCCAGGCCTACGAGCTGGAGCTGGCACGTCTCACCGAGGAGCTCCGCGCCATCCTACCCGACCCCATCGTCAACATCACCGTCAACACCGAGTTCCTCCAGCAGATGGATGCAGACGGACATCTACCTCTTCCTGTGTGGTGTAGTCGTGTCTCCGGCATTGTCAAGAGCATGTACCAACTCCTGACCAGTCTGACGAGTCGAGATGAGGAAGTGGTGATGCAGGTGGTGGGAGAAGGGGAGGGGGTAACGGTGGGGGCGGGGATTGAGAGGGGCGTGTGTAGGCTTCAGCGTGTTGAGATGGTGTCATCGTTCAGCCACCGCTTGGAGAGCCAGAGCTACAGCAAAGGGAGGAGGGAGAGGGTGGAGAGGGAGATCCAGCAGTCCGGGGTGTCGGTGAGGAGTTTGAGGTCCAACTTTGAAGGTCAAATTGGGGGGATTTACCCGTTTGGGGGGTTTGTGAATGACTCGCATCAACCGGTCACAAGGAGCCAGACTCCGAGAGGGAGGGTGGAAGCTGCTGAGTTAGCTGTTCAAACCCCTAACACCGATCTAGGCTGTGAACTTGAACTAGCCTGCCATGACATCCCTATACCAATCCGGGTCATGGAGACGACCAGTCTGAGAAAAGAGCGCATTGTCGTCCTGTTCCTGAGCCACTGGAAGAAGTCAGCGTACGCCATCTCTGTGAGAGCCAGGGTGAGAAAGGAGGCAGTCGAAAGAGCCGAGGCCGTGGTCGACACAATAAGGAACTCGACACAATCAGGGACACAACATCAGACAACAACAATACAATCAGGCATCCAAAATTGGACAACAATGACACAACCGGGGACGCCACACCGGACCAGCTCTCTCTTTCTCTTCTACCGCCAAAGAACTGCAGTGGACAAGATGCTCAACACCTGGCGGAGCGCCAAAATACAGTCTTCGCCGGTATCCCTAAGCCAGTTGCGCCCCACCACCTATTCCCCTGAGCACTTCCTGCCTCTCCAGGTGGACGGAGTGCCCGTGGCCTACGACAGCCTGACCCTTGACCTTTTCATGCTGGGCTACTTCCACATCCTGGAGCAGGATTTATCGGCTGAGGAGCGGAAAATGAGGCACCTGCTGTGCTTCGAGGTCTTCGATCACGTAGGTTGTTTCCCATGGGAGACCGTCAGGGACTTCCACAAGGCCATCCTCCAGGAGATCCAAGAAGGGAAGCGGCAGTGGAGTGACGGATTTGAGGACATCAAAGCCAGGTTCTTTGGTAATGCTGCAGTACCTGGAAGGTACCATCCTGGGGTTGCCAGAGAGTGCCAGTATCAAGACACAAGGCTAGTGCCCAAGGTCATAGTGCAGACTGCCAGTCCGGAAGAAGAAGAGCTTCTCAAGTGTAGCAGCGGCACGGACTTCTCCTGTTTCAGCAACGACGAGATCTGTAAATACATAGATCGCAGCTTTGCTTTCTGGAAGGAGAAAGAGGCTGAGCTGTTTGATTTCAAACACTAGTCCTTGTTTTCACTTTGTATTTTGATATTTTTGTATAACGCTGTTTCTATTTGTTGATTTTTCTTTGCATTCTGGTGCTTTTGGAGGGTAAAGTGGAAGATTGAATGCTCTGAATTCAGTTTATGAGTGTGCGTACATGTTATGTAATTTTGAATCAATTGAAAGAAGCTGAGTAATTAAATCCAAATCCAAATAGTTTTTAGCATGAATCTGCTTCCATAATGACTATATTATGATATTGATACTGTAAATAGTAAGACCAAGAGCATACGTCCCTACAACATAACCTAAAGTCTTCCCACACCCAAGGTACAACATGACTTAGCTCAAACTGTTTTTTATTGAACCACTATAACACTACATTACCTTATGTTGAATGACCTTTGAAGGATCAAGTTCTCTGGATGTTCTCTGATGTTAAGCCATTCTTCTGTTGGGTGTAGACCAGAATGTCCATCAGATCTTAGACCAGAATGTACAACAATCCAGGTTGGGCCATACAGTTAGCTAAACATGTTGTACCATCCAGGGGTGTGATGGAGTTACTTTGCTCGCATTTTTTAAGCCAGAGGCAGTCATGCCAAACCGTGGGGGGAAACCCATTCAGCCAAATACTGACTCAGATGTTAACATGTGCTTGCCACAACTCTCTGTTTCTGTACTCTCTGACACATTGGACATACTATCACTTTCCTGTCCAGGTGTTGTTTGGGAACTGACTCCCTGTACTTTTAGTTCTCTGAGGCATCTAAGGGTTAACTTGAAGAATGTGTTGTGACCACCCAACGCACATGCACACCCCGATTCCACCTTGACATCCACACACACACTCTCGCACGCAGTAGACAAGAAGCTTGGAAGCTTGGATAGGTTTCAGCTGTTGGGGCGAGTGAACAGTCTGTCAGAATGGAGGAGGAGAAAAAAGAGAAGTCAAAGCCATCTTGTAACATAAAGTTATGTATGAGTGCATGTACTGGTACATTCTCAGATGTTTTTACGTCTCAAGAATGTTATAATCTCTAGATGAGTTCATGCCATCTGTTGTGTAGATCTGGCTACAGGCCTATCCCTCAACACCAAGAATGCTTTATAGGTTTTCAGTGCCTATAGACTTAATATTGGTACACAGAGAAAGTCTATAGGCAGTGAAGACCTCAGAGGACCAAGAAAAAATCTGCAGGAACATGGAAAACTGGACTAACTTGAGGTAACTCCATGACTGCTAAATTCAGGTAGTAGCAGAGAATATCTTCTTTGCTGTGGGCTGAAAGCTTGAGTTGTTATGTCTGCTCTCTCTCTCCTCCTTCCAACATCTCCCTCTGTCTCACACCTTCCCCTATTTCCCTCTTTACCATGCGACTACTATCCCCTAACACATAGATATTTGTGCTGTGTCACAGTCTGCTCCAGCTCCCCCAGCTGCTGCACAGTGCCTACTTCAAGAGTTGCATCACCACCATAGAACGTTGCTTCGGGTTTCAACAGCATGTCTATGGGCACTGTCTCCTCTCTGCACGAGGTACAGCAACCCCTGCTGGTCTCCACTGGGATAACCACCTGCATGTACAATTGTCAATGCACTCTAGCACTTCCATATAGCCTGGAAGAGTACAACAATACTTGAATTCACTAAAGAATGGTGTGGTTTTTTTTCTTCTTCTTTAATACATACACTACCAGTCAAACGTTTTTAGAACACCTACTCATTCAAGGGTTTTTCTTTATTTCCACTATTTTCTACATTGTAGAATAATAGTGAAGACAGCAAAACTATGAAATAACACATATGGAATCATGTAGTAACCAAAAAAGTGTTAAACAAATCAAAATTTATTTTATATTTGAGGTTCTTCAAATAGCCACCCTTTGCCTTGATGACAGCTTTGCACACGCTTGGCATTCTCTCAACCAGCTTCACCTGGAATGCTTTTCCAACAGTCTTGAAGGAGTTCCCACATATGCTGAACACTTGTTGGCAAATTTTCCTTCACTCTGCCGTCCAACTCATCCCAAATCATCTCAATTTGGTTGAGGTCGGGGGATTGTGGAGGCCAGGTCATCTGATGTAGCACTCCATCACTCTCCTTCTTGGTAAAATAGCCCTTACACTGCCTGGAGTTGTGTTGGGTCATTGTCCTGTTGAAAACAAATGATTGTCCCACTAAGCCCAAACCAGATGGGATGGCGTATCGCTGCAGAATACTGTGGTAGCCATGCTGTTTAAGTGTGCCTTGAATTCTATATAAATCACTGACAGTGTCACCAGCAAAGCACCCCCACACCATAACACCACCTCCTCCATGCTTTACGGTGGGAAATACACATGCAGAGATCATCCGTTCACCCACACCGCGTCTCACAAAGACACGGCGGTTGTAACCAAAAATCTCCAATTTGGACTCCAGACCAAAGGACACATTTTCACCAGTCTAATGTCCATTGCTCGTGTTTCTTGGCCCAAGCAAGTCTCTTCTTCTTATTGGTGTCCTTTAGTAGTGGTTTCTTTGCAGCAATTTGACCATGAAGGCCTGATTCACACAGTCTCCTCTGAACAGTTGATGTTGAGATGTGTCTGTTACTTGAACTCTGCGAAGCATTTATTTGGGCTGCAATTTCTGAGGCTGGTAACTCTAATGAACTTATCCTCTGCAGCAGAGGTAACTCTGGGTCTTCCATGCCTGTGGTGGTCCTCATGAGAGCCAGTTTCATCATAGCGCTTGATGGTTTTTGCGACTGCACTTGAAGAAACTTTCAAAGTTCTTGAAATGTTCCATATTGACTGACCTTCATATCTGAAAGAAAGGATGGACTGTTGTTTCTCTTTCCTTATTTGAGCTGTTCTTGCCATAATATGGACTTGGTCTTTTACCAAATAGGGCTATCTTCTGTATACCCCCTCCCCCCTACCTTGTCACAACACAACTGATTGGCTCAAACGCATTAAGAAGGAAAGAAAATCCACAAGTTAACTTTTAAGAAGGCACACCTGTTAATTTAAATGCATTCCAGGTGACCACCTCATGAAGCTGGTTGAGAGAATGCCAAGAGTGTACAAAGCTGTCATCAAGGCAAAGGGTGGCTATTTGAAGAATCTCAAATATAAAATATATTTTGATTTGTTTAACACTTTTTTGGTTACTACATGATTCCATATGTGTTATTTCATAGTTTTGATGTGTTCACTATTATTCTACAGTGTAGAAAATAGTAAAAATAAAGAAAAACCCTTGAATGAGTAGGTGTTCTAAAACCTTTGACTGGTAGTATATGTATAATAGTATAGATAAGTAAAAAGTAAATGGTAAATATAGTGTAAATACACAGGTATAAGAGCCACTTTAAAGTCACATTCTTTTGAATTGTATTAAATCAATAATTTATTTTTAGTAATATATTATGCAGTGCTCCATTCTCACTTTAGAGGGGTCTCTCTCCTGTTCCACCACACTCCCAGTGACATTATGACATTATTACAACTAGTTTACAACCTTAATCTGGTTGAAATGACAGTCCAACCAGTTATGCCCAATGGGCTGTGACTGTGTCCTACAGATGGGGAACATGGTGCTGGTGGTGTTTGTCAGTTACTTTGGGAGCCGGGTCAACCGGCCTCGTTTCATTGGCCTTGGGGGGCTGCTCATGTCCTGTGCTGCTGCCACCCTGGCCCTACCTCACTTCCTGTCCAAGCCCTACCAGTACCACTTTATGTCAGCTGGTAAGAAGACAAAACCCTATATATTACTCTCAATATATTACTGTTTAAGGAATAGTACAGTGCAGTTTTGCCAAAATGCAATGCATTACAGTGCAGGAAGTCCATGAAACCAGTTTGATTATGAATACAGGTCTAATTGTGTCTGGCTGGCTCGAGATAGCACTCTTTAGAGAAAATCTTGATGTAGAAAATGTTAAGTTAGATTTTAACAATACTTTTATCAATTCAGTTATATTTCAACTAATCTCTCGTGGACAGATTACCGTGGGCAGATGAAACGGCGAGAATCTGTCAAGGCTCACATAGAATTATGTGATTACGAGCAGCAGTAGTTAGTTCCTGGTTTGGTTTTCATTTTTTTATTTGGACGAATCAGGATTGGGCGAAGGCGGTGCATAAACTGGTGCGGTGATTTTCTTGCCTGTGTGTGGATGATAAACGGTTTCCACTAGATTCCACAGCCACAAAGTCAAAATTGTCTGTATTGTAAAACATTAAGGACACCTGCTCTTTCCATAAAATAGACTGACCAGGTGAATCCAGGCGAAAGCTATGATCCATTATTGATGTCACTTGTTAAATCCAACTCAATATTAGGAAGGTGTCCTTAATGTTTTGTACACCGAATGTATCTTTTTTTATGTTTTTGTACTTCATGTGTATGGGTTGACACAAGTAATAATAATAATGCTCAATGCATGTTTCTCAACGTGACTGAACTGATCACCACACAGAAATATATATATGTTGTTTTTAGCCTGTGGGTCGTGGGACACGTGTGTTCTAAGGGAGAATTCCTCTGCCCCTGAAGTGTGCAGGCAGGGCGGTGGTGGGGACCTCTCTGAGGCGCGGACTCAGTGGCTGACCCTGGCAGCTTCCCAGGTTCTGTTTGGCATTGGCTCGGTGCCCATCCAGCCGTTTGGCATCTCCTACATAGATGACTTTGCTGAGCCTGGGAATTCAGCACTTTACCTTGGTAAGATACTGCTACAGTACTGCATGAGTGATGCTTTACTTGAATCTGTAATTATGTTTCTGATTGGAGAACCAGACAAACTGTTAATTGAAACATTCGATTAAAATGTTTTGTTGAGGATTTTGATTTGATCTGAGGATTTTATCAATTCAATCATTTCTGTGGCTTCATTGAATCTGGTCCTGGTGAGGAGAATATTTCAAGTATCACCTGATTGACATTTAAGTCATAATTTAATGATTCTGTGTTCCAGCCATCCTGTTCTCCATCTCTGTGTTTGGGCCAGCCTTTGGGTACCTCCTGGGTTCCATGATGCTCCGAATCTATGTAGATGTGGACAAGATAGGTTTAGGTATGTCACTGTTGAACCATTAGATCCTGTTTGTGAGAATGAGAAGAGCATATACAGCATACAAAATATGAAGCAAAGACTTTCAAATTCAATGGAATTTTGCCATTTTCTCTACCTTTCTCTCCCTGCTCTTGGACCCCATCCCTCTTCATCTCCCCCATCCTCTCCTTCCGTCCATCATCTTTCCAATCCTTCTCCCCCATCCCTTCTCACCCCTCTCTCCCATCCCCTCTCTCTTCCCTGTCTCGCCCCAGACCATTATTACTCCTCCACCAAATTCTACAGTTGGCACTATACATTGGGGCCGGTAGCGTTCTCCTGGCATCCGCCAAACCCAGATTCGTCCATCAGACTGCCAGATGGTGAAGTGTGATTCATCACTCCAGAGGACGCGTTTCCACTGCTCCAGAGTCCAATGGCGGCGAGCTTTACACCACTCCAGCCAATGTGTGGCATTGCGCATGGTGGTGTTAGGCTTGCGTGTGGCTGCTCGGCCATGGAAACCCATTTCATGAAGCTCACGATGAACAATTATTGTGCTGACGATGCTTCCAGAGGCAGTTTGGAACTCGGTAGTGAGTGTTTTTACACATTACGTGCTTTAGCACTCGGCGGTCCCGTTCTGTGAGCTTGTGTGATCTACCACTTCATGGCTGAGCCGTTGTTACTCCTAGACGTTTCCACTTCACAATAACAGCAATTACAGTTGACCGGGGCAGCTCTAGCAGGGCAGAAATTTGACGAACTGACTTGTTGGAAAGGTGGCATCCTATGACGGTGCCACATTGAAAGTCACTGAGCTCTTCAGTAGGGCCATGGAGATTGCAAGGCTGTGTGCTCGATTTGGCTGTCAGCAACGAGTGTGGCTGAAATAGCCGAATCCACTATTTGAAGGGGTGTCCACATACTTTTGTATATACACTACTAAGGTTGGGGTCACTTAGACATTTCCTTGTTTTCGAAAGAAAAGCATTTTTTTTGTCCATTAAAATAACATTAAATTGATCAGAAATACAGTGTAGACATTGTTAATGTTGTAAACGGCTATTGTAGCTGGAAACGGCTGATTTTTTATGGAATATCTACATAGGCGTACAGAGGCGCATTATCAGCAACCATCAGTCCTGTGTTCCAATGGCACGTTGTGTTTGCTAATCCAAGTTTATAATTTTAAAAGGCTAATTGATCATTAGAAAACCCTTTTGCAATTATGTTGGCACAGCTGAAAACTGTTGTGCGGATTAAAGAAGCAATAAAACTGGCCTTCTTGAGACTCGTTAAGTATCTGGAGCATCAGCAATTGTGGGTTCGATTACAGGCGCAAAATGGCCAGAAACAAATACATTTCTTCTGAAACTCGTCAGTCTATTCTTGTTCTGAGAAATGAAGGCTATTCCATGCGAGAAATTGCCAAAAAACTGAAGATCTCGTACAACGCTGTGTACTACTCCCTTCACAGAACAGCGCAAACTGTCTCTAACCAGAATTGAAAGAGGAGTGGGAGGCCCCGGTGCACAACTGAGCAAGAGGACAAATACATTGGAGTGTCTAGTTTGAGAAACAGACGCCTCACAGGTCCTCAACTGGCAGCTTCATTAAATAGTACCCGCAAAACACCAGTCTCAACGTCAACAGTGAAGAGGCGACTCCGGGATGCTGACCTTCTAGGCAGAGTTGCAGCTACGATAACCATTTACAACATTAACAATGTCTACACTGTATTTCTGATCAATTTGATGTTCTTTTAATGGACAAAAAAATTGCTTTTCTTTCGAAAACAAGGACATTTCTAAGTGACCCCAAACGTTTGAACGGTAGTGTATAGTGTATATGTGTGTTGGCGTTGTGTTTGTGTGTGTGTGTGTTAATGTGTATGTCCCAGTGTTCCCGCGTCTGCTCCTGAGGATGCTGCTGCGGCCTGTCTTCCTGCTGTTGATCCTGTCTCAGTGCCTCGCCACCTTCCTCAGCAAGTTCCTGGAGCACCAGTACGGTACCACCACCGCCTACGGCAGCTTACTCATGGGTGAGGAGTTACATACGCTACACATGCACAAGCACAGGCACACATACACACACCTATGCACACACACACGCACACATACACACACACACACACACACACAATGTCTCTAAATATAGTTTGCAACTTTCCATTGTTTTTTCCCTATACCCAACTGTGACCTCCACCCTGTTGGCTTTCGCCAGGGGCCATCACCCTGCCCATGGCTGCTGTAGGGCTGCTGCTGGGTGTGGTAGTGATGAAGCGTCTACGTCCCCCCGTGCGGACCCTCCTCTGGCTGCGTTTGGTACCTCTCTCCCTCTCCATACTGCTCTGTGTACCTCTCTTCTTCATGGGCTGTTCCACTCAGAGAGTGGCGGGGGTCAACACAGGCTACGGTGACACACAGGACCAGTGGACTAATAGGTGAGGTGGGATCTGTCTATATAAAGATACCCCTCATTACTGTGTGGTACTCTACTGTGTGATTGATTTATTTATTTTTTCGGCAGCACAGATCCTCCACTCTCAATTATTCATGTTAAGTCTCCCTATGCTCTCTCTACGTCATGATCTTTAAATAGACCACTGACTTTATTGTACACTAAACATGTTGCACCATTGTAGCCTATACTCAACAAATTCCTAATCAACCACTGATATGTTGGCAAATATTATATTCTATTCTATTCTATCACTAACACAATAAGTCATAAGTCAGCCATCATCAAATTCTGTGATTCTATTCCTGTGATTCTATCCGATCTCACTATTGTTGTTATTTATCCCAGGTCTCTATCTCTCTGTAACTCCAACTGTTCCTGTCTGAATAACGTATTTAACCCTGTGTGTGGAGAGGACAACACAGAGTACATCTCTCCCTGTCACGCTGGCTGCACCAATGTCACTATCGACCCACTAAACCTTCACAGAGTCCAGGTACTACATAGCTCATCCTTGAGATAGACTGTATGTGAACCCTAGCCTGGTCAATAGATATGTGGCAAGACAGCACAAACCGATTTGAAACCACATTATGTGACATTGGTATCTGAAAGACATTTGGAAGCCTCTGTAACTCATAAACGAGTCAAGGGCTGCTTGTCCTTTTGCTTACAGATGTTGCTGAGAAAGCAGGAAACGCAAACTTGTAGTTTATTCTAGGTTTAAAAATCAAATCAAATCAAATCAAATTTTATTGGTCACATGCGCCGAATACAACAGGTGCAGACATTACAGTGAAATGCTTACTTACAGCCCTTAACCAACAGTGCATTTATTTTAAACAAAAAAGTAAGAATAAAACAACAACAAAAAAGTGTTGAGAAAAAAGAGCAGAAGTAAAAAATAAAGTGACAGTAGGGAGGCTATATATACAATAGAATAAAGTGACAGTAGGGAGGCTATATATACAGGGGGGTACCGTTGCATAGTCAATGTGCGGGGGCACCGGCTAGTTGAGGTAGTTGAGGTAATATGTACATGTGGGTAGAGTTAAAGTGACTATGCATAAATACTTAACAGAGTAGCAGCAGCGTAAAAAGGATGGGGTGGGGGGGCAGGATTCTAAAGTTTGTAATTTCCTCTTTAAAATGCCAGATTTGATTTGCCCTAACGAAAAATGTATCAACCCCTACAAGAAATGTCCATCAATTATATTACGCATAGTAATTCATATTTCCTTCTGCTGCAGGATTATTTTCCTGCTGTAGCAAACTGGCTCAAATTAAGATCCTACATCTGTATGCAGTGTGGGACATCCTTTAAGACTGTAAGAAAATACTGTACCCTTACACTCCTCCCTAGGCTTACACCACGTGTAGCTGTGTGACCGCTGTGCCCGCTGTGCCTGCTGTGCCCACTGGTGGGGCTTGTATGGGGATAGGCAGGGCCCTCCCAGGTTCTTGCCCTCACCTTGTCCTGCCTGCCATTCTCCTCATTGCCTTCGCTGGCTTCATTGCCAGCCTTTCCCACAACCCCATCTATATGATGGTGCTCAGGTACTGGTGATGATTGTGGTGGTGGTAATGATGATGATGATGTTGTTGATAGTGGTGGTGGTGGTGTTGATGATGATGTTGGTGGGGGTGGTGATGATGATTATGGTGTTGATGATGATGATGGTGGTGGTGGGGTGAAGATGATGATGATGATGATGATATGTATGCATGGTTTTTTTCAGGACAGTCTTTCAAGAGGAGAAATCCTTTGCAATTGGAGTCCAGTTCCTACTGATAAGAATGCTAGGTACTGTAAGTTAGCCCCTAAACGCATGTGATTGCTGGACAACAGTGCCCCATTCTCATTTTTCCATTATGTTCCAGTCCCAAAAAATCCTATATCTGCATGTATTTCATATATGTTTCAGCCTGGCTGCCAGCCCCTGCTGTGTTTGGGCTGGCCATTGACTACTCCTGTGTCTGGTGGAAGCAGGCCTGTGGGAGTAAACTGGGCGCCTGTGGTTACTATGACAACAACATCCTTCGGAACAGGTACGGCCACACTTGATGTGCTTGTACATTAGGGGTCACTAAGAACAAAGTGTTGTTGTCCTTGTTTTCTGTGTGTTTTTTATTGAGACTGGGAATAAATGAAGACACTTCTGTTACATCAAGTGTTTATCTTGATGTCACAAATATACTGAATAAGGTACATGTTGTTCTTGCTGTGTCCTCTCTCCCAGGTACTTTGGGCTGCAGGTAGGTTATAAGTGCCTTGGGTTGGTGCTGCTAGCCCTGGCAGGCTGGAGAGTACAGCACACGCCTGGCCTGAGTATTGAGAAGGAGCCTGAGGGGCCAGTGTGAGAGGCCAGCACTGAGCCTGAAGGGACCTCTGAGCCTGAGGGGACCATTGACCCTGAGGGGACCACTGAGCCTGAGGTGACCACTGACCCTGAGAGGCCAGCACTGACCCTGAGGGGCCACTGAACCTGAGGGGGCCACTGGGGAAATGGTCAAGGCCATTGTTTCCTACGGCTCAAGTTAGAGCACAACACTGGCAACACTAAGGTTGCGGGTTCAATTTCCGCAAGGGCCAATTAAACTGAATATGTGTCACTGTTAATGACAGCTCTCTTAGTGGTGTTGGATAAAAGTGTCTGCTAAATGTTATTATTATGTAGTATCAACAATGAAGGTGTTTTATTTGGGACTATAATAAAAATTGACATAGTCTCTTTCATTACTTTAAGGGACTTTTGATAACTTCATATGCGATTTTGATAAAGGAATGTTTTTGGTTTGCTTATCATGAAAAACTGTATACACTACTGGTTTATTGTACAGTATTTACATTGTTTTTATGTGTATCAATGACACTATTTGTGAATGAATTTGAGTGTCATATTACTATAAAAAATGGTTTATAACACAATGTGTTTGAAAATAAAACTAACCTAAAAACACCGATATTTTATTATGTTACTTACCTTGCTGTTGAATATGTATACACTGTGTAATTGTAAGGAATAACGGGAGAAAATGCCATAATATTCAAGAAGGTGAGAGGATGAATAAGGTGAGGTCGCGCAGGCGCACACGCATCCTAAACTGACAGGACGATGCTGAGCTGCACTACCATCGTTCTATGAGCAGAGGAGGATCCCGACACAGTGATAGTGATAGAACCAACGCCTCTGGATCCGAAAACCTCTTTTAGAATCCGATAGAGTTATCGCTGTAAACATGTCCGCCGGAGGAGACTTGGGGAACCCTCTGAGGAAATTTAAACTCGTCTTTTTAGGAGAACAGAGCGGTGAGTTGAGTCTTTTGGAACGCCTTGGAGGCTTGGTTATCAGTTGCCAAACATGATAACGCATATTGAAGGCCATAACTGTATTCTTTGGTCTATTTGAAAGTTTTCACTATTTTCACTAAATGTGTTGAGAGGTTGAGTCATATGTTAACTCAATCAACCAATTCACTGGTTCCTGTCACGATTTTGTTTCTGTAGAAAATTTGATTAGTCATCCATTTCGATCTAAAACGTCATAAAATAAAATGTAGGCTATCCTCCGCGTTTTACCGATATTCATATTTTATTTCAACCAATTTCTCTATTTAAACATGTTTTATTGTATTTTAGTATCATTGGTATTACAGATACAGTAAGCGACGTGATATACGAATTTGGATGTTTTGATGTGGTGCAGTGGCCGGCAGAAAGATTCGTTCTGTTTCAAGATTATAAGAACATTTTATCACAGTTCCATTGTTGATTATAGACTTAAACATTTAAACGGATTATATGATTAGATATGATTTTTTTCCCGGTTTAATACGGATAAATAGATAAATAGTTCCCATGTGTCAATTCGGGACACACCCAGGTTGGCGATGTCTGTAGAATTTATAAACCTCGCAGTCACTGTCTCCAGTCACTTGACTCACAATTCCAAACCATAATATCACAATGGTCACGAATGTTTTGTCAGTGTCATAACATTATGATTTTTTCAATAATTCAATAATTTAGCGAACAATGGCGGTTTACATGGTTGATATGGCGTAGAGTCTAGATCAATAATGGTTTAGCGCTATAAACCTCTTAGAATACGTGGTCAGACATCAGGCAGTCCGAGTGGCTATCCACCTCTGCTCGATCATGGTACTGAAGTATACAATACTATACATTTGGGCATTGTAATGGTTTATTTATAATATAATGGATGTGTGTGTGTGTGTGTGTGTGTGTGTGTATCTATGTGTGTGTCTGTGTGTGTGTGTGCATGTGTGTGAGAGTGTGTGTGTGTGTGAGAGAGAGAGAGAGAGAGATAGAGAGAGAGAGAGAGAGAGAGAGAGAGAGAGAGAGAGAGAAAGAGAGAGAGAGAGAGAGAGAGAGAGAGAGAGAGAGAGAGAGAGAGAGAGAATGTGTCATGTCCATTCCATAACTGAGTGTATGTTCCTGTTTGTGTGTATGTAATGGTAGCTGTCATGGCTTTCCATAGAAAAGGATGCTGAGATGTAGCTGTCCATGGCACTGTGTGTGTGTGTGTGTGTGTGTGTGTGTGTGTGTGAGTGTGTATGTTTGTTTATGTGTGCACATGTGTGTTGTTGTATTTGTATGTAGCAGCCTAATGGCTTTCCATAAGGTATGCTTTTATGTAGCTGTCCGTGGTGCTGATTTCAAGCCTGTATTGGCCACTGCCCATAGTCTGCTGTAGGCATCGTTTTGGGCTGTGAGTGATGAGCATTGGGTAATGGGAACTAATTAGGCTGTATTTCAGTGTACCTGTGATTGTGTGTGTGTGTGTGTGTGTGTGTGTGTGTGTGTGTGTGTGTGTGTGTGTGTGTGTGTGTGTGTGTGTGTGTGTGTGTGTGTGTGTGTGTGTGTTTGTGTGCGAGCATGCTTGTGCATGCATGCATACATTTATGTATGTATGTATATGAAGTTTCATTCCAAAATGCTATACAGTATATCAATCTTCAGCAATGTTGGCAAATGAGCTTTTTTTGTTTAAAGAACTTCTGAAAGAGATTGGTGTTTCATGGCATTGGGTTGTTAAATGACACTAGATGGTTTTATTTCAGAGAACAAACAATCACATTTTGTTGCAAAACAAGATATATCCGCCTCACTCTCAGAGAAAATAGTAGCACTGCAAGATTTTACACAGTAAAATGTGACAAATAATTACACTTTTAATAAAGAACAGTACAAATTATACATTTTTGACATCAATATGTTTTTTAAATATATATTTAAATGTTTAATCAATACAGGAATATGAGATCTGGGCTCTGGTCAAATGTAGTGCACTATATAGGGAATAGGGTGCCATTTGGAATGAGGCCTAACTGTAACCAAACACTATAGCATGAGGCTAGATGTATGATGGGTTGAATTGATATGTTAAATAAACAGGATACGAACATTCAATTCCAGCAAAACATATATATATAGCGTTTTGCAACAAAACCCATTTTAATACACATCTAAAATCTATGAATAAAAAAATCTGAGACCAGTAATATTTTACACACAAAAAGGTACCCATAAGCATTCATTTCTGATGAAAAAACACGTGTAAAATTGGTGGATATCGCGTTTTGGAAATAAACGTTTCAATATTCACCCCTGTGTTCTGTTCCTCTTCCAGTGGGGAAGACATCACTTATCACCCGGTTCATGTACGACAGCTTCGACAACACATATCAGGTAAGACCTGGCTGCTTTATTTAATGTTCTGGTACAAACAAATTATAGGACAAAACGTACAGTACAAAGTACAAAGGGCAATACAAATGTAATTACAGTAGATTTCATTCGATTTGTGCGCTTGGCCTTCACACAAAATAGCTTTATATGTCTCCTATCTATCACAGTACATCCTTTCCTTTGTGAATAACAAAAGATAGAGGGTGACTCACTGGACCCTGTGTGCTATTATTGTGACTCACTGGACCCTGTGTGCTATTAGTGTGACACACTGGACTTGTATTGCACTATTATTGCTAATATCACTTTACTCTTGTTTTATTTGACAGGCGACCATTGGGATTGACTTCTTATCAAAGACCATGTACCTGGAGGACCGAACAGTAAGAAACTCTGTCAGTTACCTGAAATAAACACAGATCAACATGGACTACATCATTTACAACTTGTTTAGGACCCTAGCACCCTAACTAGTACAATAGCACCCTATTTGTCCTAGCATACTACACATGCTAACTATACATACTATACATATTGCTACATACTGTAGATGAGGCATTCATAAATTAGTATGGTGAAATGAATTTAAATAAACATGTTTGTAAAGGGTTGTTGTAGTTGAATAGTGTTGCTTAGCCAGGACTGTGGCTCAGTGGGCTTGTGTGTGTCTAGGTGAGACTGCAGCTGTGGGATACAGCAGGCCAGGAACGCTTCAGGAGCCTCATCCCCAGCTACATACGGGACTCTACTGTCGCTGTGGTTGTGTATGACATTACAAGTGAGTGGTAAAACTCACACAACGAGCAGAACCATATGGATGCACACATACGCGCACACACACACACACACACACACTGTGCCTTGTAATGGCCTACACTGTAATACACAGTAACATCCAGTAAAAAGGTACATTATGTATTTCCTTCAAAAGACGTGAACTCGTTCCAGCAGACCTGTAAGTGGATTGACGACGTTCGAACAGAGAGGGGCAGTGATGTAATCATCATGTTAGTGGGCAACAAGACAGACCTGGAGGAGAAGAGGTGGGTGATAGTTTATATCTGGTGCACATGTTATTTATATATTAGGCCTACATACTGAATACATGCTGTATACAGGTGTTCTATCTTAATTGACCAGTTTCTTACAGCAGGAAAATAATCCTGCAGCAACAGGACATGTGAATTATTATGTGGATTATAATGAATGGACATTTTTGTAGGAGTTGATACATTTTTTGTTAGGACAAATCAAGTCAGACATTTTTGTGGCTTCTAAAGTTTGTAAGTGGAAATTAAAAACTTTAGTAGCCTTTTTAAACCTCAAATACACTACAGGTTTGCATTTCCTGCTGTGCAGGAAAATTCTCTGCAACAACAGAGTGATCAAATTAAGATAGTACATCTGTATCTGTTTTTGAATGCTTTGAATTTGGATAATCCAATCAAAGGGGTCTTTTGTCTGCCTTATTTTAACTTTTTCAATCCTTTCAAATGGATTACATATGGATTGAAAGCATGAACATAAGTTACCTGATTTGATTTAATGCATCAATTGTTCAACGCCATTGGTTCCACATAAACTGTTCAAGATTTCTAGTAAGGATTTCCCTTTAACATCTTAATGCATGCTATGGTCTGATTCTCCCACAGGCAAATCACTATTGAAGAGGGAGAGCAGAGAGCCAAAGAACTGAATGTGATGTTCATCGAAACCAGTGCCAAGACAGGCACCAATGTCAAACAGGTGATTCTTCCTATCAAATTTCAAATTTCTTAATTAGGCACTTGATATTTCACTTTTTTAGCTTCTTTATTTGCTTCAAGTTTGACTCACTCAAGCATACACACTAAAAAAGTAGGGTTCCTCAAGGGTTCTTTGGGAAAGGTGATGGTTCTATGTGGAACCATACTGACCCGAATAACCCTTTGAGCCCTTCAATAGTGTTCTTTACTATTTTTGTGATAATTAAAATGTATGGACTGCGGCTCATTCGAATATTTTTGGGCGTGGTTTGTGCACAGCTCTTTTTGTGCAACCGTGAGTGAGAGTGTCATTCCAGTTTATGTAATCTTTATAGAACCTTAGGAAAAGGTCCTTTATAGCATCATAAAGATTCCATTTAGAACCTGATGAGCATAGTTCTTTATAGAACCTTCAAAAAAATGTTGCATGTAGCACCAGAAAGGGTTCTGATATGGTTACCAGCCAAATAACCTTTATTTGGCACTATATAGAACCATTTGTTTTTAGTGTGTACGATTTATGTAGTGGAAATTCCTTTTAGGATGTAGTTAAATGTTAATTGTATTATATATTTTCAATGTATTTTCCTCTCGATCTCTCCCTCTTTCTCCCTCCCTCGCTTTATCTCTAGCTGTTTCGGCGTGTTGCAGCAGCCTTACCTGGGATGGAGAGTTTGGACGATGCGAACCCTGAAGGCAGTATCCTTTAGAACAGAGAGTCAGTGAGTAACTCAACAATCTGTCAACCAAGGCTCAGAACAGCAAAGAGAAACTCAGTGGAGAGAAAAAGTATTTAAGTCATTGTGGTTGCTGGCACTGTAACAAAGAAATAAGCAGACATAGGCAGCCATCTTCAGTGCAGTGAACCAGTAATATTACATAATGGGTTTGTATGGAATCTGTAGGACAGGGGGAGAGGATGCCCCCTAGTGACGGTATAGCAGGGTAGCACCCTGTGCCTAGGGAAACATAATAATATAATATTCCATTTAGCAGACGCTTTTATCCAAAGCGACTTACAGTCATGTGTGCATACATTTTTACATATGGGTGGTCCCGGGGATCGAACCCACTACCCTGGCGTTACAAGCGCCAGTCTATCCTTCAACATGATGAAGGATAGACTATGTGTGTGTGTGTGTGTGCGAGAGAGAGAGAGAGAGAGAGAGAGAGAGAGAGAGAGAGAGAGAGAGAGAGAGAGAGAGAGAGAGAGAGAGAGAGAGAGAGAGAGAGAGAGAGAGAGAGATAGGAGAGTCCATAATGTTGCATTATAGTCCTCTCTGTTGACTCTTTTGCGCCACAGTTTTGTTGTTTATAATGGAATATGCAGATAATGTTTTATGTATTCCCTAAGTTTTCCTTAATTGGACACTTTCCAGTGATTGACATCAAGCTGGACAAACCAGCAGAACCTACTGTTCCTGCGGGCGGGTGCTCGTGTTAATGCAGAGCTGTTGGACAGCTTCCTTCACACCATAGGCTTGTTGTGTTGCTTCCTACTGGTTAGCTTCCAGTTGACTTTTCTGATTGGATATGGGCCACGTACTGTATATCTGATTGGACGAATCAAGTGTTATTTCAGTCTTCAGTTGTAAAATAGTGTATACTTTGTCAATATGTAAGTGCCAGAGAAGGATAAAAATAATAAAAAAAAGTTGTAGAAAATGAAAAAAGGGAGAAAATGGAATGAAACTCGAATTCTTTTCGCCGTTATGTTTTGTATTTTTTTATATAAAAGGGAAAGCACCAAAAATGACACGTAAATTGGGAAAAGTGGGGAAGTCCATTTCCAAGATGGCTACCCTGTCTGAATATCTGCAGCACGCATGCACGCTGATCTCAAGCCTACAACCCTGGAGCGGCTCAACTAACTTAGAATGTTTTATATCATAATAATAGCATACTCATATCAACAATGTGTCCCATTTGATATTCCCCACAGGCGTTGATTTACCATAGATTCACCGTTACTTACAGTACTATAGCTGTGAAAATGTGTCACTCTCAATGGGCAACTTTTATAGAACACCTGTGCTGTGGTAAAAGAAGAAGAAAAAGCCAATGGAATTTCACAAGCCCGCCCCCTCTCCTCCCCCTTCCTTCCTCCTTTCCCCTGTTATACATATAAAGATCTACTGTACTGCACTGCACTGTATATAATAATGTAATATGTATGTTATGAATGTCCCTCGGTAGAAGTGGTCCTTGTTCACTGGTATGAATAATGTAATAATGTTTAATGATTAATAAATGAAAGATTAAAGGGCTTCACTCTCCTAACCATCCATACTTACCCATTGCAAAATGGTCTCGTCTGTCAAAGGTGTCTCTTTTGCTTCACTCGCCGTTACGTTGGTGATCCTTTGAAATATACACTGAGTGCACAAAATATTAGGAACACCTTCCTAATATTGAGTTGCACCCCCATTTGCCCTCAGAACCTACTACCATACCCCGTTCAAAGGCACTTAAATATTTTGTCTTGCTCATTCACTCCATGTCTCAATTGTCTCAAGGCTTAAAAATCCTTCTTTAACCTGTCTCTGCCCCTTCATCTACACTGATTGAAGTAGATTTATCAAGTGACATCAATAAAGGATCATAGCTTTCACCTGGAATCACCTGGTCAGTCTATATAATGGAAAGAGCAGGTGTTCCTAATGTTTATACACTCAGTGTATATATCAGATTATAATATATATAACGTTTTATTATATAACATAAAACTCTCATTTACATTACAATAACTATCATATGATGTTGGGAATCGTGGACACATAGTGGACCAAAAAATGGAGACCATGGTGGAGATTAATACCCTTTTCACCAGGGTTGGGGTCAATTCGGAATTTCTGAATTGAATTGAATTCAATCCATGAACACATCCACAGGAAGCATAATTGGAATTTAATTTGAATTAAAGTAGAATTTCATTCAAAGCAATTAAACTGAGACATGGAGCATGGAAGTCTCATTCCTCTGACGAGTCTGTGTCACGATCGTCTGACGAATGAACAGACCAAAGCGCAGCGCGTTGAGCGAACATGACTTTAATTGATAAAGCACAAAATACAAAACAAAAGACGACTCGTGAAGTCCACAGTGACAATGACTGTACAGGAACAAAAACCCACAACCACAAGGTGAAAACACACAGTTTAAATATGGCTCCCAATCAGAGATAACGAGCCGACAGCTGACACTCGTTACCTCCGATTGGGAGTCATTTGAACAACCAAATACAACAACCTAGAAATAGACACAACAGAACTACCACCATAGAAATAAACACATAGAATGCACACACCCTGGCTCAACATAATGAGTCCCAGAGCCAGGGTGTGACAGTACCCCCCCCTAAAGGCGCGGACTGCGACCGCGCCTCCAAAACCCCAAACAGGGGAGGGCTGGGCGGGCATACCTCCTCGGTGGCGGTTCTGGCTCCGGCCTTGACCACCACCCTCCGATACACCCCCCATAGTACCCCTGGTCCTGTCTAGCCCCGCTGGCCGGAGCCGGACTGACGACACGCGCCCCTGGCTTGGTGCGTGGAACAGGAATGGACCGGAATGGGCTGGCGACGCGCACCACAGACTTGGTGCGGAGAGCAGGAACGAGCCTTACCAGGCTGACGACTCGCACCCCGGGCTTTGTGCGTGGAGGAGGAACGGGCCTTACCAGGCTGACGACTCGCACCCCTGGCTTTGTGCGTGGAGGAGGAACGGGCCTTACCAGGCTGACTTCTCGCACCCCTGGCTTTGTGCGTGAAGGAGGAACGGGCCTTACCAGGCTGACGACTCGCACCCCTGGCTTTGTGCGTGGAGGAAGAACAGGCCGGGTCGGGCTGGCGACGCGCACCGTAGACTTGGTGCGGGTGGCAGGAACAGGCCGGACCGGGCTGGCGACGCGCACCGTAGACTTGGTGCGGGTGGCCGGAACAGGCCGGACCGGGCTGGCGACGCGCACCGTAGGTTTGGTGCGAGTGGCAAGAACAGGCCGGGTCGGGCTGGCGACGCGCACCGTAGACTTGGTGCGGGTGGCAGGAACAGGCCGGACCGGGCTGGCGACGCACACCGTAGACTTGGTGCGGGTGGCAGGAACAGGCCGGACCGGGCTGGCGACGCGCACCGTAGGTTTGGTGCGAGTGGCAGGAACAGGCCGGGTCGGGCTGGCGACGCACACCGTAGACTTGGTGCGGGTGGCAGGAACAGGCCGGACCGGGCTGGCGACGCGCACCGTAGGTTTGGTGCGGGTGGCAGGAACAGGCCGGACCGGGCTGTGGAGACGGATAGGAGGCCTGGAGTGAACAGCGGCCACCACCCGTCCTGGCTGAATGCCTACCCTCACACACTCTGTGTGAGGCATCCGCACAGGACGTACAGGGCGGTGTACCCCTGGCCTGGTGGCCTCCTGGATTCGCCCCATCTTTGCCTCCGTCGTCCATGCCGTGTGCCCCCCCCTAAAAATTTATTGGGGTTGCCTCTCGACCCTCCGACGCTGCTCCCACGTCCAGGTTGCCTGTTCCTGGACACGCTGCTTGGTCCTGGTATGGTGGGTTTTTCTGTCACGATCGTCTGACGAATGAACAGACCAAAGCGCAGCGCGTTGCGCGAACATGACTTTAATTGATAAAGCACAAAATACAAAACAAAAGACGACTCGTGAAGTCCACAGTGACAATGACTGTACAGGAACAAAAACCCACAACCACAAGGTGAAAACACACAGTTTAAATATGGCTCCCAATCAGAGATAACGAGCCGACAGCTGACACTCGTTACCTCCGATTGGGAGTCATTTGAACAACCAAATACAACAACCTAGAAATAGACACAACAGAACTACCACCATAGAAATAAACACATAGAATGCACACACCCTGGCTCAACATAATGAGTCCCAGAGCCAGGGTGTGACAGTCTGTCACCAAAAGCATCTGCCACCTATTAATACAAATACCATTTCAAATATTGGCTTGATTACAACTCAAACATGTCAAACAGTATTTTTTTGTACTTTTGTCATGAGAATAGGTTGAGCGCTTCCATTCTGTTGTGTTTGATGCATTCTGGGAAATTTATTTTCTTTCATATTTAATAAGTCGTAAGTGAATTATGAATTATTATAAACCTACAAAAGGATCTTAGAATATTTCCAGACTACAGTAATTATAGAAAATTCAGACCTGTAAGGTGTGGAAAATTCAAATTCAATTCAAATTCAAGAATTAATTGGAATTAAAGAGCAATTCGCAACTCAATTCAGAATTGGCCCCAACCCTACTTTTCACTCTACTGAGTCAACCTGAGCAGTACTGCACTGGCCTGGCTACACCACCACCACAGTTGCTTTAACCTTGCTTTAAAGGACAATGTGAAAATAAAATCACTGGGCCAACACAGCACTGTTCGCAGAATAGTGTGAATAGGGAATATCTTGAATGACATTTGATATTTTAGTCATTTAGCAGACGCTCTTATCCAGAGCGACTTACAATTAGTGCATTCATCTTAAGATAGCTAGGTGAGACAACAACACATCACACTCGTATCAATTACATTTTCCCTCAACAAAGTATTTATCAGCAAAGTCAGTGCTAGTGGGAAAAGACAAGAGAACACCTCTGTGTTGTCATTTAGGGTGGAATCCAAATTTGAGATACAGGACGTCGACAATCACGTAAATCATGCATTGAGTCAATGAAAAATGAGTAACGGGAAGGGATCTCAAGTTAGGTTTCGGGCCAAGAGCAGAGGCCTGATTAGGAATGTATAATGTATTTGAGGATGAGAAACAAAGGTTTACAGTACCTTTAGAGACTTCAAGGTTGACTTCAATGTAGTTATACAGTCCAAATTGTTTTGCTCCACACCAGGGATTATCTCCCTTTAGAGGTCCAGTTTTTTCCATCCTCAGTCTCAATAACTTTGTTTGCCCAAAGAATACACATCGCGTTTCTGCCTTTGCAGAGGTACTTCTGGTGGTTCTCATCACAAGAGTATCTGATCTCATGGCCGTAGCTACATAAGACTCTGCATTCTTTTTGTTGCATAAAGAAAAAAAAATACAGTAGTAGAATACACAAGATGCAATTTCAAAAATTGGTTTCCCTCTTTATGTCACTCATTGACAGTCACTCAATTAGCCCATGTCTGTAAAGCAATTTGGGATTGGTTAATTAGTCTAGTTCTAGCCAGCTATCTAAACTTGTAGTAACCATTACTGACCGGGCACTCAGGGCACGTATTAAATTATAGTTTTGAGTTAATGTGAGTTAATGTGTAGCAGCTAATTGCATAGCTAATGGGCTATGTGTTTGTAGATCAACTGAGGTGAATGAAGCTACAGCAGCCAAGGTGATAATAGCTGGGGTCATTTTTGTTTGTTTTTGCTGTTCTCCAAATATAGTTTTTAAATTGCATAGAAATCCAGTAAATAAGCTTCAACTTTCCCCCCCAAAATTGTGGGGAATAGTAACTGTTTGTTAATGGTTTATAACACATTTAGAAATGATTATATAAACCATGAATGATGTAATTACATGTAAAGTGTTAACCATCTGGTGACAGTATCAACATGATCACACATTAAGGATTCATACTTTTGGCCGAGATCATAACAGACAAACAATTATACATTTTGGGGGAAGTTGAAGTGGAAAGTACCTTCAAATAGATTAGTATCACGGTGACGTGTAGACTGTCACTCACCTGGGCTCTCAGTCCCCATGGGTTTGGGCTTTTCTAGTGAGACTAGAATCAGGTATTCCCCTGCAGGAGTTAGTGGTGGTCTTTAGTTACCCCCCCTGAGAGACAGGTGGACACAGGCAAGGCAGTTAGAGTAGTAATGGGCATGTGGACCCTGGAGAGGTGAGTGGCAGAGCAAACCTTAGTGGCTTAAGTATGGACTTTCAAAATAATCATTCCAATGTGTTTGTGTGTGTGTGTGTGTGTGTGTGTGTGTGTGTGTGTGTGTGTGTGTGTTCATCTGGAAAAAAGAAACCAGAAATACTTTTGAGCAACCATGGAGGACATACCCATCAAGTGACCCTCACCTGGTCTAGCCACACCTCCAACACTGAGGTCACAAACCAAAGGTCACTTCAATAATTTCAGATCCTCCTGTTACACTTCCCAAGTGCGACTTAACAGCAACACACCACACATAAAAGCCAGACAACATTAGACCACTTGCACATACTGTATGAATGAACACCACACATATTAACTGTGAGCCATGTCCAGAGTCGAGGATTTTGAGGATCCTGACCCCCGTTCCCAGCTCAAGGAATTCCGCACAGACATCTCCATGGCGATTGATGATCCCTTCCCACTGCTCTATGGGTTGGTGGACCGCAACATCATCAGTGACCAAATTCTGAAGGTGAGCTATGGGAAGTATATTTAATAATGGTATATTTCATATTGATATGAGAGCTCTTTTGGAGAAAGTTTGAGCATTTCATGATGTTAGCCTGGAAGGAGGTCATGTACAATTGTAATATTTTCTCTTCAGTACATTGCCTTGTAGATGGTCTCGCGTGACAGCCTTAACTGATTTGGTTCTGGGTGCTGAGAATACCTTGTAGATCGTCTAAATCGTATTCTATAAACAAAAAAATCTGTGTATGTTTCACTCGGTACCATTTTCTACATGGCACATTGAATGACAGTTGGTAGAGCACGGTGCTTGCAACATCAGGATAGTGGATTCAATTCCCGGCACCATCCCTAAGTAAGAATGTATGCACGCATGACTGTATGTCGCTTTGGATAAAAGTGTCTGCTAAAATGTACTATTATTATAAAAGTTTGCTATGACCACCCATAGGATACCCTGGATAGGGAGGGCAGAGATGGGATCCACAAGGCCATGTACTCCCTGCTTTCCTGGCTCCTGGAGCAGAGTAGGACCACCATCCAGGCCTTCTGGACCAACCTGGCCAAGGACTACAACCAGGACAGCTATCCCAGACTGCAGGCCCTCCTGACCAGCATTCAACCAGGTTGGTAACCCCATTTTAAGCAGTTTCTCAACCTGTGGTACTAGAACCCCTGAGGGTCCTTGGTTTATCCACAGGGGGTATTTGGGATAGTGATCAATTGCACATGAGGGGGTACTTTGGGTTGAGCAAAACATTTGATTGAAAGGTTGAGGGAGTTGAGTTGAAGTGACATAGGAGCGTTGCTTTAATATAATTCTAATTTATTCTATGGGTTGTGTTCCATTTTGTCAGGTAGGGAGAAGGTGGGCTCCAAGCAGGGGAAGAGGTCCCCACGAGGGTCTCGAGAGTCCCACAGCAGGAAGAGGAGCCTGGGAGAGAGACACCACCCTCACCACTCTCAGCACCACAGCAAAAGTAACAACAGTTCAGGTGTGAGACAAGTTATTGTACCAGATACCCATTATAATGCAATCCGTAGCCTAGATGCCAACTAGTTGTACTACAACATACTCAAAACTCAAGTTTTTCTAAACCAAGCTCATTATACATGTTTTGGTGTCATTGTTCTAGGTGGCAAAGTGAAGTCAGTGAGGAAGAGTGAAGGCGCTGCAGTGGTCTCTCAGATACCTGCTGGAAAGGGTAATCAAATCTGTGTTATATTCCATTCTCTGTTTGTGATTCTGTTATGATTTGAGGAAGGAACAAAGTATTTGATATCAGCATCAATTTATCAACATCATCACTATATAACTGACCTGTGCTATTACCATTTAGCAGGTGTCCAGGCGGTGTCCACCTCGGTCCAGAGGGCAGTCACTCTGTCGTCCAGTGAGCTGCCGGTCAGTTGCGGGGCCAGAGAGGAGATCCTCATCAAACAGGTGTTTGGATCTGGTGAGTAACGCTAGAATCACAACACTATCCTGACCACAACCCTAACCTGATGACTGTAAACCTTGTATTGTAAGTTGATAGGAGTGCACAGTAAATATGTATTGCAGTTTCACTGTAAATATGTAGCCTATTGCACTTCCATATTAATTTTATTGTGTATTATTCTATGTTTTTATGTATTATGTACCTTGTCTTTTTAAACACATGACCAAATGAATTTCCCCCTGGTGGGATACTAAAGTTGATTTTAATCTTATCTAGCTAGCCGTCAGCCAAATAACCTCCACAGACACCATAAGACACCATCTCACCATATCAGGTTTTATTGTAGGCATTTAAATATTAAGAACAAAAGTGGAGAGTAGGACTACATTTTGTTGTCCTTCTACAGGAAGTGCCAAAAAGTGCATTAAAGTGGGTGGTGAGTATTACACCTCTGGGCCATTGGATGAGCTGACTGGAGGACACAAGACAAAGACTGCGAAGACTAAATACCACCACAAGGAGGAGTCCAGCACAAGGGTAAGAGACGTAAGTGACTGTTCAAGCAATACAGTTCAAGCAGTACAGTATGACCACCAATCACTGTATGATTTTCTCAGGTAAATAACAAATCATTTTGAGAGGGAGTGTGTTTCTGTATTTGCCTCATCTAGTTGACAAGGAAAATGCACATTCATCAACAGTTCAATTTATTTTCACATTGAATTGAAATAGATGGTATATGAAAGATGAGTGTCTATCAGTGTGTGTGTATGTGTGTGTGTGTGTGTATGTGTGTGTATCCAGGCCCAGCGTAATGATGATGAGTGTGCAGTGTGTAAAGATGGAGGTGAGCTCATCTGTTGTGATGGCTGTCCCAGGGCATACCACCTGACCTGCTTAGACCCTCCCCTCACCACAATACCAAGGTATACTGTATGTGGCCATAATCCTTACTTGACTTCTGTGCATGTATATATATATTACATTAGTCTAAAAACAGTCCAAATCTTTCATAAGACCCAAGGTTTGGGACTCATCTCTGTTCCTTTCTCTAGTGGCACTTGGCGCTGTCAATCATGCCGTAGCAACAAGGTGAGGGAGAGAATCTACCCAGTACTACCTGTTCAGGTCAGTGTCAAAAGTTGGTCTTTTCTTTAATACCATCTCATTTTACTTCCACTATTATTACTACTACTACCACCCTAAAGGTATGACATTGAGGTATAATGGTTCTACGTCAGTATAACATTAAGGTATAACGTTTCTAACTCAGTATGACACTGATGTAAAATAGTTATACCACAGTATGATATTGAGGTATAATGGTTCTTCCTCAGTATAATGGTTCTACCTCAGTATGATATTGATGCATAACGGCTCTATCTCAGTATGATATTGAAGTATAACGGTTCTACCGCAGTATGATATTGAGGTATAACAGTTGTCGTCTTCTCTCCCATAGCCCTTGGCTCAGAGCCAGTTGACAGAGACCAGCTCCAGTAACTCCACCATAGACTTCTCCTTCTTCTCCACCTCTCTCTCCAGCGTCACCGCAACCAAGAGCAGTCAGGTCTCTGCATATCAGGTGATTCTTTCTTTATTTTTGTTGTTCCAATTTTCTATTCCTCTTTTCTCTATTTTTCTTCAAACTGTTCTTGTTATCGTTAGTCATTTCAACGTCTCTTTCAGATTATTCTGTGCAGTTTTTGAAGGTAGCAATTTATAATAACACCTTGTAATAAAGCGTTTATAATGATTAGTAAATAGTTTATTCATCATTTATTAATCATTACTTTATGTTTGTGTTTTGAGTGACCAGTGTCATTTATCTCAAAAAGATGGACATGCCATTGGTAGACATTCCAGCAGTACCTGATGCTCCTTAAAATAGCCTAGAACATATCAATGGTTAAAGAATAAGCACACAACACAGGACGTTTGAAATAAATAAATAAACAATTTTATTCACAAAACTGTTGCAAGGACATGAGGAAGAGTTGTAATGCAAATGTTTTGCTAATGTTGTCAACCTCGCAAACAAATCACAGGGAGATAGCCTACACACAACAGCTGGCCAGACCGGCCCATTTTCTCTAGTGGATTTTTATTCCTTCATTCCAAATTATATGTGATTGAGGTAGAATGTTATATGTATGACTTGCAGGTAGAAATGTGGCATGTATAACCTTTAAATGCTTCCAGTGCTTCAGTCTTTTAACCACAGACTATTTTCACACTTTGCTTTGTTTGGAGGCACTTTTACTAGGACTTTAGAAGTAGTAACTCTTTAAACGTAATGTGATGGCAGTCTATGGACTGCTCCAAGGAGTGACTGCAATCAACACTTTGGTTTGGGTAGAAAAGTCACTGCCAATAAATGCTAATATTAGCATTTTCTGACGAAAAACGTTACTTTACTCTGCATAGAATATGTCTGAAGTTACACATCACACTATTACAACAGTGTGACTGTCTTGAATCCAATGTTTAATATATTGCCTTAAACATCTTCTGTATTGTGGGCTTATTCTTTTACCATTGATATGTTCTGGGATATTTTGAGACCTTAAAGAGCGTCAGGTACTGCTGGAATGTCTACCAATGGCATGTCCATCTTTTTGTAAGAAATTACACTGGTCAATCAAAAGTATAAATCGCTCTCACTTTAGATGAGGCCCTGCAAAAATACTTTACTAATGATTAGTATATGGTTTATAAGGACCTATATTAAACATCTTATGCATGATCTTATGACTCATTATCACATATTTTAAAAGTTGTTTATAAATATTTCTACAACCGGTTGGTCAAAACAAGCATTATGATTGGTTGAGACGTGTTCTAAGCCATACAAAGAAACCTGTTTAGTACGGGTAAGCCCATGACGCAAAAATGTGCATCTTGTTTTCTGTTCCATCTGAGAAATCCCTGCGCATCCACTGTCCCATCAGCCCTGCCAGCCAAATCATTAACTTGATCGCCACTGTAAAAAGCATCTAGACATTATTTCCCATTGCTTCTAGCCTAACATTTGGTTTGCAACAATGGGGGTGTTTGTACAAACGTTGCTGTATGTCTTTCGACATTTGCAACATTGTTTCAATACTGAAATCGATCTCCACTGTCCTATTAAGAATTCACGTGTCAGGACGAGACGGACATCTTTTCTCAGCCAGTCGAAATCATGAATCAGCATAATTTTGATGGATATATACAAAGAAATGTCAATAGAAGAACAGGTCAAACGAAATGAAATGCAGCTACTTTGCTGTGTTAGCCATAGTTAGCTAGCTAGCAAGCAAGGGATAAGAGCGTTGCCAGCCAGCGTGGCAACAGAACATTTAGAACAAACGACTGGGTTGCGTCCATAGATATAGAACAAAAAGACTTCATGACTGGTTTGCTATCTTACTAGCTTCAGTTTGAACTGATTGCATTATTCTATGCCAGGCGAAATCACGCATCATTAGCTCATTGTTATGGTACATAACTTAAACAAACGCAAATGCAGCTACTTTGCTGTTATTTTAGCTGCACTGTCTAACCTGACTGTGGTAGCCGTAGTTGGCTAGCAAGGGATTAGAGCGTTGCCAGCCAATGAACGACTGATATAGATATAGAACAAAAAGACTTCACGACTGGGTCGTGTCTCTGGCAACCTAACCGATAGAATGAACGGCCAGACGGCCTGGCTAGATGTGTTGGGACTAGGCCTATATTTTCACTGAGGGATGAAATAGTAGCCTATGAATATATTTCTAAAAATAATGTTTTTTATTTAATTGGTAACCTGTATTAGAAAAGCAATTGTACACTCGAGGTTGTGCAAAACTACTTTTTTAGCACGGCTGTGTAAAAAGCATGCATTCTCGTGTACAATTGCTTTAGTGAATAACTGGCTTACTAACAATTACAAATGTGGGAGTAATGATTAATAGATGATGAATAAACTATTTACTAATCCATTATACATGCTTTATTACAAGGTGTTATTATAAAGTGCTGCAGTATGCAAACAGTGTGTGTGTGCATGCATTTGTGTGTACCAGTGTGCAGGTGGCGAGGTGGTGGAGGTCAGGGAGATGTGTGGGGTTTGCCTCCTCAGTGGAGGAGACCTGACCCTCTGTCTCCAGTGCCTACAGAAGTATCACACCTACTGCCACTTCCCAAAGTAAGACCACCTCTACATCCATCTTATCCCACCTCTGAGTATTATTGTTTTAACCATCAAGTCATATCTTCTGTTTCTGATAGTGTATTCACCAATTCAATTGATGTTATAAGCTGCACATCTATTTTCTAAATGTAGCAATGTACTTTACTGTACATCAACTGAAAGTTTGTGGATAATTTGTGTGAAGCTAATGGGTACTAATGGCTAGTAATGGAACGTTCAACAGTATATTAGTCAGCATTCCTCTGTCTTTGTCTTTGACAGTGGGAGGTCCATCTGCTCCTCCTGCAGTAGGCCTTGGGGCATCTCAACAGACAGAGAAGCGGAATCCAAGGGCTTACAGGTACAGTGTGTGTGTGTGTGTGTGTGTGTGTGTGTGTGTGTGTGTGTGTGTGTGTGTGTGTGTGTGTGTGTGTGTGTGTGTGTCTGTGTCTGTGTCTGTGTCTGTGTCTGTGTGTCTGTCTGTCTGTCTGTCTGTCTGTGTGGTCATTATACAGTCTTATTTTCTCTCTCCACCACTGTACACCCAGGTTGGTCCAACTCCACACACTCAGGAGTACTCCTCTCTCTCAGAGCCCATCCTACACAAGGATGAACTAGACTCCATCATGGGAGAGGTGAATAGGACTTCAACCAGAATTTCATGTGAATCAAGATCTAGTTAAAAGTGATATAAGATGTGAATAACATGTCATTACATCTCTAAGCTATTTCATATAGAGAAAGATACTATCTCTCAGTAATAGACAATAGACATGTCTGTGGCAGGTAACTATTATTTAATGATATTCTGTGTTTGTCCTCTTTCAGCAGGGCTCCATAGATGGGATCCTGCAGTGGGCTTTCCATAACATCTCCAGGCCTCTCTCGGACACTCAGGGCTACTTTCAATGACGCACACACACACACACACACACACACACACACACACACACACACACACATAACAAGCTCAAAACACATGTTATGATCTCACACAAACACACTCCCTCTTTCTTTTTATCTCTCTGTCTCTCTGTTTCTCTGTCTCTCTGTTTCTCTGTATCTCTCCCATTCTTAAAGGAAGGATCCACAGTCCAATATAACAGATGGTTTCATTTATATAGCTACAGACATTGAGAATGCCTCAGACCTAGAATTTCTTGAAGACCTTCACTTAGCTCAGGAATGTTGTTTTTGTACATGTTCAGGAGTTTAGCATAACTCCACGATGGATGCGGTGCAATGGGCGTTAATTCTCGATGGCACATGAAATAAACACTCTGTACTTGGAGACTCCTAGCGGCAGCTCGCTTCATGCTGGTCTTCATGCCTGACTAGACAGCCTGGTCTCATAGACTAGATGTAACATAGTAAATCCGGGACACTCAAATTAGTATGATATGTTACGTTTGGTATGGTTACTTAAGGCTAAAATGAAAGTAGGGTGGTTGGTCGGGGTGGATGGATAGACGTATAAGACGTCTAGCAACCCAAAGGTTGCGTGTTCGAAGCTCATCACGGACAACTTTAACATTTTAGCAACTTTGCAACTACTTACTACTCTAAACCTAACCTTAACCCTAACCTTAACCCCTAACCCCTAGCTTAGCTAACGTTAGCCACCTAGCTAACTTTGGAATTCGTAACATATCATAGATTTATCAAATTCCTAACATATTGTATGAATTGCAATTCCCGTAACATATCATAGAAATTATAATTCCTAACATATCATACGAAATGGATGATGGACATCCATAAATTAATACATACCATACGAAACATAACATATCATGCTAATTGGAGTGTCCCGGATTTACATGTACTATGTTACGTCTACCCCCGAGTCCAGGTTGGACTAGAAAACAGTTTGTAGGAATCCATCTATAAAAACAATAGGTGCATTTTCCCACCAGAGGGGTGTTTCCATTAAACTGACTTATTGCGGATAAAAGGCTGTGCGTGATGACGTAGTGCACAGAAAAATAACTTTTGCGGTTAAATTCCCATTAATAAAAGTTAAATGGGGATCCATCGCATTTTCAACTCTACTGACGGTTTTGTCTGTAAAAACGTTGTGTTATATAGCAAATGTGCCCACTCTGGTCATGGCACGTGCTCTCTAGCCAATAAAGTTTGGATGAAAACCTGGTTAGTGAGACACTCTAGGTGGCACTCATATGGCAATCTATGAAAGGCCCAACATCATGTAAAATATGTCATTCTTCATTGAAATGAAACATTTGTGATAATTCTCAATAAACAGTATCATCAGGCTTGTTTACAAAAGAACTCAATGTCTTTTTAGGAGGCCCATCAAAAGAGTGACTCTGAAGGAGAGAGAGAGAACGGGGGGAACTTGCCAAGGCACAGAGCAGGGGGACATTGCATTTACATTACATTTTACATTTACATTTTAGTCATTTAGCAGACGCTCTTATCCAGAGCGACTTACAGGAGCAATTAGGGTTAAGTGCCTTGCTCAAGGGCACATTTACGTCATTTAGCAGACGCTCTTATCCAGAGCGACTCACCAATTGGTGCGTTCACCCTATAGCCAGTGGGATAACCACTTTACAATTTTGGGGGGGGGGGGGGGGGGGGGGGGGGGGGGTGGGGGGGGTAGAAGGATTACTTTATCCTATCCCAGGTATTCCTTAAAGAGGTGGGGTTTCAAATGCCTCCGGAAGGTGGTGAGTGACTCCGCTGTCCTGGCGTCGTGAGGGAGCTTGTTCCACCATTGGGGTGCCAGAGCAGCGAACAGTTTTGACTGGGCTGAGCGGGAACTATGCTTCCGCAGAGGAAGGGGAGCCAGCAGGCCAGAGGTGGATGAACGCAATGCCCTCGTTTGGGTGTAGGGACTGATCAGAGCCCGAAGGTACAGAGGTGCCGTTCCCCTCACTGCTCCATAGGCAAGCACCATGGTCTTGTAGCGGATGCGAGCTTCAACTGGAAGCCAGTGGAGTGTGCGGAGGAGGGGGGTGACGTGAGAGAACTTGGGAAGGTTGAACACCAGACGGGCTGCGGCATTCTGGATGAGTTGTAGGGGTTTAATGGCACAGGCAGGGAGGCCAGCCAACAGCGAGTTGCAGTAGTCCAGACGGGAGATGACAAGTGCCTGGATTAGGACCTGTGCCGCTTCCTGTGTAAGGCAGGGTCGTACTCTCCGAATGTTGTAGAGCATGAACCTGCAGGAGCGGGTCACCGCCTTGATGTTGGCGGAGAACGACAGGGTGTTGTCCAGGGTCACGCCTAGGCTCTTCGCACTCTGGGAGGAGGACACAGCGGAGTTGTCAACCGTGATGGCGAGATCATGGAACGGGCAGTCCTTCCCCGGGAGGAAGAGCAGCTCCGTCTTGCCAGGGTTCAGCTTGAGGTGGTGATCCGTCATCCATACTGATATGTCTGCCAGACATGCAGAGATGCGATTCGCCACCTGGTTATCAGAAGAATTGCCATTCTTCTTATTTCCAAAACAAACATGAGATGTGAACATTGTGAACCAGATGGGTTTAATGTATCTGGTATTTGCACAAGATCAGACCTGGATGTACCCTGGCTCTGTTAAGCTCTGCAACCGTCTCTGTCATGTGTTTCACTGTTTTTTAATAGTAAATTGCTAATCTTAGATAGTATTAATATATTAGCCATTTCTGAGACGCACTTAGACAGCACCTTTGATGATACAGCAGTAGGAATACAAGGATATAACATCTATAGAAAATACAGGAATGTCTACAGGGGAGGTGTTGCTATATATATATATATATATATATATATATATATAGATATATATATTCAAAGCCATATTCCTGTAAAGCTCAGAGAAAATTTCATGACAAATGAAGTAGAAGTGCTGTAGTTGCAGGTTCACCTACCTCATCTGAAGCCTCTTCTTTTAGGGTGCTGCTATAGGCCACCAAGTGCAAACTGTCAGTATCTGGAGAATATATATGTGATGTTAGATAAGGTCTCTGATGCTAACAGTGACATTTATTTTCTATAATAAGGAGGAGAATCTAGATGCAATATTTGTAATATTATTCTTGCCAATTGTTAACAAACATGCACCTGTAAAGACACTAACTGTGAGAACTGTTAGAGCCCCCTGGAGCTACGATACATTGAAAAATTGTATGGTGCGAAAAAGGTGACAAACAAGTCAGGCTGCTCAGCTGACTGGTTTACATACTATCAATTGAGAAATGTTGTGACTAAACTTAACAAAAAAAAGAAGATATTACAGTGCCTTGCAAAAGTATTCATCCCCCTTGGCGTTTTTCCTATTTTGTTGCATTACAACAAAATAGGAAAAGTCATCTTATAGGCCTTGGAAGTCATCTTATGAAATGCCACTGATAGTAATACAATTTACAGTTCAGAAGGCCTATTCTGAGATGAACACACCAAATTTGGCACAGAGGTAGATTTAGGTACCCTGAAAATATTTAGATATGAAGCCACCACAGATTTGGCCCGTGGGGGCCATGGCAGCCATTTTACTAAAAGGCTGCAGACTGTACCACTATTTTACAAACCTTTAATCTACAAAAAAGTAGATTATACTTAATTATTTTTTGAAAGTCATATATTTCTTGCCTGTACTCCTTGCCCTGGATCTACTGAAATTCAAAAGGTTTAACAGTAACACACAGTAGATTACAGTATAATATTACAGAGGGAAACACAGCAGTCATGTAGGCCAAATTGTAGAAGAAAGTAAACATTTCTAGGATGAGTGTAGCGGAGGTGAGTTAAAATGCTCTAGGGATGAGGTAGCACTGCCTGCATCTTAAAGGGTAGGTAGCATAAACGTAACCACATGTAACAGATGGATTTGCATTAGTATACATTTTTATACGCATCAAAAGTCCCAATGCAATGTTAGACCTCACTTTTCTATTTTTGGAGTTATTACATATAACCGATCAGAATTCTGAAGAATGCCGAGGTAATGTCAGAAAATATTTTTCCAGGGGGTGTGACTTAATATGGAGGACCTGGCAAGCCAGCCTATTCCCTGTAATGTAAACTCCAGCAGAAATAACTTCAAATGTATAACTTCAAATAATTTGCACTAATGACTACTGGTTTTAATTAATTTAATTTTCACTTACAAGCAAATACTATACGAATTGAGTGAGTCATTCAGTTGCTATCTACCACCAGCTTACAGCTACATTAAAGTAAACCAAAGTTTTGGAAATACATAATGCCATCTAACCAAATATCAAAGAATGTTAACTATATGCAGTTATCTTAGCCAGCAAGCTAATGTTAACTATTAGCCTAGCCAGCCTAGCCAACCAGCACGGTTATGGTCGGCAAGCTAAAGCCCAACTACCGGAGACTAGTTAGAACACAACTAAGACAACACAACTAAAACATAACCGCAGATCAAAAGAGCAGACACTTACAGATTGATGGCTGGGGCCCATCTGATGGTAAGAGTCAGGGAAAATTCAATAGCTATAGCGTGAAAAATCCAAAATAGATTGATTCCAGATGTCAGTCAGCTAGCACGCTAGCACTAAGCCAAGGTGGGAAAAGTTACAAAACTCCCGTAACCTATTTCACAGAGAACATGCCGAAAAGTTTACAAAACAAAAAGGAGAACTGACGAGGTACTAATGTTACACAATTAGAGCAAGCAGGTATGATTTCTCTTTGTTTTGAGCCCACGGCAAAAAGTCACCAGAGCCTGCAGTGCTAACAAGTTCCCACTAGATAACACAGCCACAAAGTCTGTGAAGAGCATGAGGTGTGGCTATCGTTAGCCAGCTTGAGCTAGCTACCGAGCTAGCATACGAACTCGGTAGCATAGAGTAGATCCTATGATGTTGAGAAATAGTGTATTGTAGGTAGTTTAGAAGATAACCGGAAATAAGTTAATAAATATGTAATAACCCAAG